TGATGTTGTGTAAATTAGCTCTATGTTGTGTTGCTTGCGTTGATGAATGCAGGAATGTAAATGCATGAGCTAACCATTTTTGTCTAAACTGTGAAGCAGCATTATATATGCATCATGTGCATGATTTTTCCATATATGGCATTAGTGGAAATATGCTTTTAGAGACTTTTTGGTTGATAAATACGTTTTGCTGTGTGAAAATCACACGCACCTGGTCCGTGCGTGTGTTTAGGTTAGTAAATCACCCCCATAGAGTCACTGGAGTTCAGATTCCATGGGACTCTCAATATTTTTTGCTGAATCGCCCAATTCTGAGCCCTAGACAAATTAATCTCCTTTTTCTTCTTGGCTTCTAAAATAACCATAGCTAAAGTCTGGAGGTCACCAAAAATTTTATTTAAACATGTTAATCAGAAATTGTAATGGATTATTATATATATGGCTCCATAGTATCCTTCAGGATGCCGAAAGGCAATTTGAAACAATCTGGACCCCTTGGATGATATATACTGGAGTGATGGGGGCCTCGTAACACCTTCTTGTACTTTGTGACGTGGGGTGGAGATGTACTCTCTGGAGCGGTTCTTCTCTAATTCTTTAATCGTTCTTTTGTTCCTATCTTTACTTCCCTTCCTTCCCTTTCTTTTTTCTTTTCCACTTACCTTTCCTTTTTTAGCTGATGATTTTGAGCTCTTATACACAATGTGCTGCAGAAACTCTCCCGCTACTTTAGGTTTTGGGGATATAATTTTGATTGTTTACCAACACATGTTGTTCCTTATGTTGATTCCCTCATTGTAACAACAATGGGATATTACTGTACATGTGGACTTTATACCATGTTTTGCTACATCATATCCCTTTTTTTTGTAAGTTTTTAACCCCACTTTGTTTCATGATTGTATTACTTTGGGAGACCGCCAGGCACTTTGACTTTGCACTTTTTGAATATCTGTACTGTTTTTAATTTTTTTCTGATGTCTTGAAAAATACAATAACATACTTTGAAAGTTAAGAAAGCTTTATTAGTGTTTATTTTGTTTGGTTTACATGCCCATTTATCCAAAATAGAAGAGTGCTGGCACAAGGTAAAGGTATTTAGGAAATAATAATACATTTTTTAAAATATAAGTGCATATTGAGAAAACCATCCAGTAGCCAACATTATGTCACAAAAGTGCCATAGATCTCTATGCCTGACAGTATCTCGGTGTCCACATAGGAATCACAATGGTCATAATGAAAGGGGTAAACACAAATATTATATAATGATCAGCATTGTGTGCAGGAAAGTACTAGCAATCTGTTGTACTAAGTCCTAAAGACTCTTATAACAGCATTGTGAAGACAGAGTAAGGGTTGAATGCATAGGCATAACAATGAGACCAGGCCCGCCAATGTGTTTTCATGCATTCCTTGGGATTTTCTTTCCCCCTAATTCTCCTTAACAGTAAAGCCTCCCAGCACACTTTGACAAAATCTAAATACCCCAAAATGGGGTGTGAAACGTTCTGTGAGAGCCAGATGTTTCACCTCTACCCCCAAATACCTCTTCAAAGTACTAATTGTGTGGAGGACTTTAAAACAATTATCCCTACCTGTCCTCTAGAAGTTGCACATAAAAGCTCCTATCGAATGCTATACCAAAAACCTTTTTAATACTATGGAAAACATTATATGGGTTATTGCACAATGGTACTTTGCACAATGGTACTTTGCACAGTCCACCATGCCCTACTGCTTTGAGTTTCATTTAATTTTTTGGACGCTACATGAATGGTTTATTAGACCACTTGGTCCACACAACCATTCAGCACCATATGGACATGTCGTAAATACAGTAAACCTTTAGACTCTCACTAAGCACTTGCATCAGAAGCAAGTCAGTGTCTTTGAAACAATATTTAAGTTCTAGGTTCACTATTAAACCAAGAGGTGGGTAATGTAATTACAACATTGCATCCAGTATCGTTGATATACTGTACGCTTACATCTATTCAAATATTTCACAAGAGACCGGCATTGCTAGAACAGTTAAAATGTATAGTGGTGCTTTAGACAGTAACATAACATCAGCCATAGCAGTTTATGAGGACACTGCAGTGACATAAGGAAAAGGGACCCAGTTGTACCATTCCCCTCACTGGATAAAGTAGCAGCCACAACATTCCCATTCTCAGTATGCAAACAGGAGTCCTAGGACATCTGCTTCTACAGGTGCACTGATAATGTTTCCAGATTTCCCAACTCAATGTCAGAATTCTAACATTCTCAGCCTGTCTATGAAACCTCTAGCTATGGCCCCTTTCTTTCAGCAAAATATAAGACATTGATTGCTCTGCAATCAACATCCAGAAAGCATAGGGGCAAGAAATAAAATTGGCTATTATTACGTCAGCTTCTATTGGTTCAGCTACTAAACTCCACACAAATGTATATAACCCATATACCTCTGGGGATCAGATACCTATAGAGACAACGTTTTTAATCTCCAGGTCAAGATACACCTACATTTCTGTGCGTGTTTCACTTTGACACTAAATATATGTGTTGCCCCTAGACCATTTGATTGTTAATCACATACAAGTTCCCGCTTCTAGTACATAAATGGATAGAAAAGGGGAAAGGTGGTTATATATTTAATATCTGAAAAGCATCTTAAGGGATAACATTAATGCAATCAAAGAAACTAATGTTTAACACTTTAAGCTTGGTGGCCCTAATTGTGGTGGTCGGAAGAGTGCTTCTCCTTACTTTCATGAACAGAGGAGTCGTGCCCCTCACCACTGTGCCCAGAAGATTGATGCTCAGAGGTGAGAAGAGGAGTTATCTGGTGAGCAGAGGAGTGATGTTCTTCACTGTGGTGACCAGAGGAGTTATGTCCTTCATTAAGGTGACTAGATGAGTGATGTCCTCCACTCTTGTGACCAACGGAGTGATATCCACCACTCTGGTGACCAGAGGAGTGATATCCTCCACTTTGGTGACCAGAAGAGTGATGCCCTCCACTGTGGTGTGAGGAATGATGTCCTCCACTGTGGTTAGAGAAGTGGTGCCCTCCACTAAGGTGACCAGCAAAGTGGTGAGGATGTCCAGATGAATGGTATCCTCCATGGTGGTGGCCTGAAGTGTGATGGCCCCCATGATGCTGTCCTGAGTGATGCATCATGCTGTGATGAGATCCTAAAAAGTTCAAGGCACACAGAAATGCTAAAGTAATATGATAAAAAAGAGAAATTATGCACAATGCTTAGTGGCAAAATGTCTCATATATCGACGTGTCTGTGTGAATTTTCTGTGTTGCTAGTTAGATCCAAACTTCCATTAGAACATAAGTGTTGGGAAATTTGCCTTTGACCTGTGACTCTCGTTTAAAAAAACATAGGGGTTTAAGGGATAAGTTTGGAGTCTACAGTAAAAAAAAACCCACATCATTACAGTACAGTATAATGTTCAGTAAAGTATAATGGTGGCATAACTGATATAATGCTGGCTCACTCCCTGTCTGCTGATTGGAGCACGGGCCTGTGATGTGCATGGCAGTTAAAGCACACATTGTCAACCATGTTGTTGGTGGAAGCGTAACACGCATGACTCATGCGAATGTCATAACGCGCACACGTTTAGAAACATTGCAGGTGTCGTATAAAGTTTGGGTGATGCCAGTAAGGACCCAACAACCACATTAAAAGTCCGGCATTGCCAGGCCAATTCTGGCAACTTTCTAGGTATTACAATGAAACTAAACATAAATAAATCCCGGTTTATATAGCACATTAGGCCACATGGTGCATAGAGAATGTGACTAAAGTACTGTAATTACTTACACTATTGGAACCATGTGCAGAACCATTGTAGATAATGAAAATGTCGATATTTTAGCAAAGCAGGAATAAGTAATGCTAAACAGTTTGCTGGAATTCACAGGAAGACACCCAGGCCAATACCAGAGGAAACAGTTGGCTAATTAGGTTAGTTAATTGTAATTTTACTAAATCTAATTTAATTGTACAAGAATTATTGCATTCTTTTTAAACTTACCATGTTGTGCATGAGACATGTGATGTCCAGAAACACTGTAAGAGAATTAAAATAGCTGAATCCAGTCTGTAATTAAGAATACACTGTCTGTCTGTCTGTCTGTCTGTCTGTCTATCTCTCTATCTCTCTATCTCCTGAATTAGGTAAATATAACACAATCTAGGTTTGCTTTACGTAATGTACTGTACTAAGTTCAAACTGATAGATATCCATATTGCATGTGGAGCGTCTCATGCTAGAATTTGCAAAGTATTGATGCACTTTCTACATTTTATAAAGTAAAGTTAGAATTATAAGGCTATGTCAAGTATCTCTCTAAAAGTCTGAACTCTAGGCATACTGTATCTTGTATTACCACAGCAAAGGCCTACAAACATTTGGTCAGGCTACTATACTGATACAAATCCATATGCCTTCATAGTTGGATTTTTTTTAAGTGGTGTTGGTTTCATTTACTTCTAATTTGTGGCAAAGTCAACCAGGAAGTGGTCCAGTGGGAGACTTTACAAGTTGACGAATGGACAACTTACCTGTCCCTAACGAGTCAGTTTAAGCATGTAAGGTCTGCATAAATTATCCCTCACAGTTCTACAAATTCCTTCTCACGAGTACTAGATGTCAAGAAGAGCACCATTTTCCTAACAGTCCTTAGCACAAAAATGGTATTTTGAAAAGGCATTCCCTGCTGTTTTTGAAACTCATACAGTGGTATTTACATAGTAAAGGGCCCACAAACCCGAGGCTCTCTAGGTAGTGAGATACCAGACCTATTGATGTATAGGGCTGATATCTCTCTAAATAGGAACATGTTTTTAACGAATTACTGAAGAACAATGAACAAATAGCTTTGCTGCTCTGGTTTTCTTTACCATTGCTTTCGTAAAGATGGCCCTGATTGTGTAAGTGCTGTTATATCTGTATTTAACTAAAGTGCTATAAGATATTGTACTTTGCCATACTTACTCAATGTCATGTCCATCCAGCAACCGTTTGTAGGTGGCAATTTCCATCTCCAAATGGTTCTTCTGGTCCATGAGAGTCCTATATTCGTGATTCTGACGTTCTAGGTCAGATCGAATCTGTGCCAGATCAGACTCCAATCCATTGATCAGACACTGCAGTTTAGCAAGTTTGGACCCAAAAGTAGCTTCCATCTCAGCCAAAGTGCCCTCCAGAGCTGATTTCTGAAATAATATTCATATAAATTCTGATTAAAGTCAACTTTAACACTTTTTAATGTACAAACCTTATGGACAGAACATTCTAACTGGGTCATGTTTTTCATGGATTGTCAATACATTACTGATTTAAACTGGAAACTAGTTGGTGGAATTACCTACTGGTTTCAGAAATCTCATTAACTTCTGCTAATTCCTTCATGTATACTTTTTACAATATCTCTAACAAACGAAAGCATTAAGTCTTACTGGTCTACATGTTCTTAGTTGTAGATTTTTACCCTTCTTAAATAATGATACATTATCAGTCATAAACTAGTCTTATGGCAATGTCCCAGTTATGAAGAATGTCTGCAAATCTCAGGGTCTTTCAGTTAATATTTTGCTTTACAATCTTATACTGTACATCAGAAAATGTGTACTTATCTTAACTCAGCTCAGGACACGGCATTCCCTCTCTCTCTCTCTCTCTCTCTCTTAACTGACCGGCCTAGTTACTCAGCTTTCTTTTTTGAACTCCGATGGATAACTTCCACTTCAATCCAGTGCCTCCACTTTGGTTTTTACCCAGCATGATGCAGGTTGCTGTGTAGAAATGTACACTCACCAGCCACTTTATTAGGTACACCTGTTCAATTGCTTGGTAACACACATTGCTAATCAGTCAATCACATGGCAGCAACTCAATGCATTTAGGCATCAAGACGTGGTGAAGATGAATTGCTGAAGTTCAAACCGAGCATCAGAATGGGGAAGATAGGGGATTTAAGTGACATTGAACATGGCATGGTTGTTGGTGCCAGATGGGCTAGTCTGAGTTTTTCAAAAACTGCTGCTCTACTGGGATTTGCACACACAACCATCTCTAGGGTTTACAGAGAATAGTCCGAAAAAGAGAAAATATCCAGTGAGCGGCAGTTGTGTGGACAACGATGCCTGGTTGATGTCAGAGGTCAGAGGAGAATGGGCAGACTGGTTTGAGATGATAGAAAGGCAACAGTAACTCAAATAACCACTCGTTACAACCAAGGTATGCAGAATACCATCTCTGAATGCACAACACGTCGAACCTTGAATCAGATGGGCCACATCAGCAGAAGACCACACCGGGTCCAACTCCTGTCAGCTAAGAACAGGAAACAGAGGCTACAATTTGCACATACTCACCAAAATTGGACAATAGAAGATTGGAAAAACGTTGCCTGGTCTGATGAGTCTCGATTTCAGGTGTAACATTCAGATGGCAGGGTCAGAATTTGGCGTAACAAAATGTATCGATGGTTCAGGCTGGTGGTTGTGGTGTAATGGTTTGGGGGATATTTTCTTGGCACCCTTTGGGCCCGTTATGCTATCATGTCAATATGGACCAAAATCTCTGAGGAATGTTTCCAACACATTGTTGAATCTATGCCATGAAGAATTAAGGCAGTTCTGAAGGCAAAAGGGGGTGCAACCCTGTACTAGCAAGGTGTACCTAATAAAGTGGCCGGTAAATGTATATATTAAAGCCTTCCTACAGATCGAGAACATACCAAGCTTAGTTCACTTTGTAACTCAATTTCCAGGGCCTGCATGCAACGCTTCAGCTCAATTAATTCCGTTTCAATGGACTGCAGCTCTTCTGAACCAAACTCCATTTCACGAGTTAACTCCTCGCTCTAAGGGAATAGAAAACACACACAGTATTCAATTAATTAATTCATGATTATAGATGAATGAATTAAACATAGTGGGTTTGATTTACCAATGAACTAGAGAATGTTCAATAGGCAAAGTGAATGTTTTATTTTTAGCTTTGTCAATATGTTGAAGCCATGTTCACTTCAATCATCCAATTATTTGCAAGAAAAAAAAAATGTGTTTTCTTTTTAATTATCCTTGAACTTGATCAGGTGTTATTTGTTTATTAGGCTCGCTGAACATTTACTTTGCCCAGTGAATGTTCTCTAAAGTTTTTATAGGTGTTTTTTTTTTTTCTAAAAGGCATACCAAGCAGTATATTAGTACAGTGTTTCTCACAATCTTAGTAACTAGAAATAGCTGTATTCTGTCATGGCACATGTAAAAACTCAAGATACAAAGGGTAGAGCCAGGGAAAACACTAATTAAAGACTTTTAGGCTCACTTTACAACAATAATATATAAGGTAAAAGATCCGAAGTCCAAGAGCTCAAAGAAATTTGAAAATTTCAGCTACATGGCTGAATGTAAAGATTCTTATCCTTTGTTAAAGCATTGTGAATGATGTGCACTGATATGTAATATGTAAAACATAACAGAATGGTTAGATGGCACATTAAAACATGCAAATATATTGAAATGTGATTTGGCTAAGGGCATTCAAATGTTTACATATTCTTAACCAGCAGTAAATGTCTCCAAACTTATCTGAAGTTTCCAATAATGACATTTGTATGCATCCAACATTTTTTCTGAATGTAATTCGAAATTAACTTTGTTGTTAAAAGTTACACATTTTTTAAAAAAGCATGGGGTCCCCTCCCCAATTCATGTTAGACCCTTTAGGTTTGTAGGAATTTGGGGGGAACCGAATGCCAAAAAAACAAAAAAAACTGCTTTGGGTCCCCCTTAAAATCATTTATCAGACAGTTGATCTGAGCAGCAGCCTGGCAGAGCAGGAACGGGGGGAGGAAAAACCATAATGGTTTTATGTAAGCTGGTGGAGTAGAATGTGCCTTGCTTCCTTTAAACCATTTTCACTCAGGCCTACAATGCTGCCCTTTGGATGCATGTTTAGAGGAACTCAACAAGGTCAAGCATCCTATGCTGCTGGTGGGACAGCTTTGGTTGTCCTGTCTGTCAAAACCTCTTTCTATTGATGGACATTCAATTCATAGTAATAAATAAAACAGTTATATGTTTCATGGGCACTCCTCCCACATTCTCCCAGCAAAAGAATGCCCACATAATTAGCTAACTGCAAGGACTGCTAGGACACGTAGACCTGAAGAATGAAGTGACATCACAATGCATGAACACTTTGCCTGCTTATAATACACTCCTATAGACTGGATGTTTTACGATTAGCTAATGTCTTTAGTTTAAATACTCCATGTATTAATGTTCTTACAATAAAAACATTTAGCTTACCTGTCCAAGGAACATATTTGCAGCTTCTCCGAGGTTTCTCTCCATAAGGCTTTCATATTCCTCTCGAATCTCAGACAAGGCTTCATTTAGATCAATAGATGGGGCGGCATTCAGTTCAACGTTGATTCTGGCACCCAGCTGGGAGAGGAGGGATTCTATTACCTGTGATAGGTTAAGCATGACATTCAATGATTCATCAGAAAGTGAACTAACAACACCTGGAAGAGACCCAATCATGTTTGAGTTTTAAATGCATTATAGTTGTACATTTTAAGGTATATTACCTCTTCGCTGTTGTTTCTCAGACAGTCCCTTTCTTCTTGGAGGCTTCGGACCTGCATCCCACGCTCTGCAGCCTCTCCCCAGAGTCCCTCCAACACTCTTTCCAACTTCTGGATATCCATCTCCACATTACTTGCCAAAGTCTGTTCCATTTCTAACCTTTGAAATATATATAAGGTGACCAACCAAACAGTCTACTGTGTTCACTCTACTGAAAATAGCAATGGGTAGACACAGGTGAGCTAAGGCACTCATTGGCTTCCTATACCTCTCTGAGATTCCATTGTTGATATCTCCCTCCCTATTTGACTGTACAAGAAGCAGGTTTGACTTTTAATGCTGCAGTTGCTATAATGCAGAATAGACATGTGCGATTCGTTTCGTTCCGAATCAAAATTCGGACGAATTTTCGGAAATTCGGACATTCGGATGTATCCGAATTCCGAATTACAGACATAACGAATGCAAACTAATCCGAATTTCCATTTCCGAAATTCGAATTCCGAATCCGAATTGACTTTCAAACCCGAATCCTGAAAAACAAAATAACACAAATCCGAATTTAAAACGAAACGAAACAAAACAAATTTTTTGGCAGTGCACATGTCTAATGCAGAATAAATGTAAAACACACCCTGTTCCTTCACAGAAAGGCAGAAATTTGAACTTAAATACAGATAATTCATCTTTGGAGTTCTTGAGCAATAAAAGAAGCACATGGCAATTCAACCTACTGGCATCTACACAAAACTAATACCAGTTTTTGATGACCATTATAGATTGGTGTACATGCAAGGTAGAATAGAAGAACAAATGGCGTTATTTTGTGGTTGCCTCCTTGCCAATACATGAACTTGGTAGAAAACAGACCATATTTGACCACATGTATAAAAAGTGTCAGAAAGCAAACTAATGTGTTGTTTATATAAACCTACCAGATTTGTCATGAATAGAGAGTGATCAATATCATTGGTTTGTGTCTTAGGGAGAATAGCTGTAGGGACAGTACCATGGCAAATCTAGCAACAAAACTTGGGAGGAAGGTATTGCATGTGCTATTGAACACTCGATTCTTTGCAATGCAGGTTACATAACACCACCGTCCGATTCTTTTCTTTGGCGCCCTACAGAAATTAATCATAGTCCTGCAAAAAACAGACCGCTTGTGGGCTCTGAAAGGACATTGGTTGCTGAAAGGTTTATTGTACTAGTCTCCTCCATGTTTCAAGCACGATCAATGCATTTACTTATTTGTTTGTTGATAGATTTTAGGCTTTTATAAAATAAAGTCTGGTTAGACTAAAGGGTATATTTAAATTAAAATTTTAAATTGCCCTAAAAATTATACAGGGAGCACCACGTGAGTACATTGAACACAGCTGAAATGTTTGCTGGAAGGCATAACCATGGACAAAATAAAAAAATGACATACAGTATTTGATATAGCCTGGCTGCCATTAGCATTAGAGTGGAAGTTACGTCCCATTTTTTTTTAAATACACTGACAGGCAGGGTTTGTATGACAGAAGAGACTCTGTATGTCTCTTCTGTCATAATCGCTTCTTGCTGCCTGTCAGATTTTGTGTACTCTAAGCCAGCATTTTTCAACCAGGGTGCTGTGGCACACTGGGGTTCCTTCTGGTATACTCAGGGGTGCCTCGGAGTTTTGAGATGGTAGGACTCTGATGTGAATGGGGAACTCTGGAGGTTTGGGGGCTTCTAATGGGAAGGAGAGCTTCGAATGTGAAGAGAAGCTTCTGTTGTGAAAGGAGGAGGACTCTGATGTAAAACAAGGGGGCTTCTAAAGTGAAGGGGGGCTACTGATGTAAAGTGAGATGCTGATTTGAAAAGGAGAATTCTGATGTTAATGGGTGGCTTGATGTGAAAAGGGGGTCTTGATTTGAAGGGAAAACGTTGATGCAAAGGATGGAACCCCACTTTTTAATGTGTTTTATTTGCATGGGGTCCCCCCTTACATTTTAATAGCGCCGTGATTGAAAAAAGGTTGAGAAACGCTGCTCTAAGCCAGGCATGCACAGTCTCAGCAAGGTTCTATGCCAAGATAAAGTAAGTCCCATGCACATGGCTGGGAGTTACATCTTCCAAGCCTGACCTATGAACTTGGAGGAAGACCAGGAGAAAGTGGAAGCCGGAGAACACTGATATAGCAGCGCTGGAGGGGATCTTTTGCAAGGTACAGCCTATCACTGTACATCCAAATAACTCCTGGGGGGACCTAAAATTTCAATTTCGTGTTTGTGGTTTAGTACCGCTTTAACCCAGCAGTGTAGCAATTAGCACATAGCAATTAGCAAGGTACATAAAAGAGCAGCATTTGTATTAGGCCGGCTGACTGCAATACAGTAATAAATACAAAAGATTAAATTGGGCTTGCACACATTAATCAATTTTCAACACGTACTTGGTCTTGTAATCATCAGCAGCCAGCCTGGCATTGTCAGTCTCAAGAAGCATCCAGGCATTTTCTATAGCAGCTTCAGCAATCTACCCAACAGAGTTTGAAAAATCATACAGTTATATTATTTTGCCATAGTTACAACCTAAAAGAAATATCCTAAGTTTCTTAGACAAACAAGTAAATGTAATCAGCTTATTTTAATAATGTTAATATTCTTATCAGGATGTGTTCATAGTTTTAAAGACATAATATAAACCCTGTTTATAATCATATGTTGGTGTTCTAGCTGCCAACGTGTATTTATTTTCATAAATACACGTTGGCAGATATGTGCTGTGATACCCTAGGATTATGTGCTGTGATACCCTAGGATTCCTGTCATTATTGCTTTTATGACTTTCTTTGTGCAATATTTGTGACTAGAGTAAACTACAATACACGTTACCTTGTTCTGGAGCTCATCAATGAGTCTGTAGTAATGAGTGCCATCAGGAGGTGTTTTTGGCTGGTAGCTTGCATACCATTCAAAAATCTTTCTATCCAGCTGGGCATTTTCCATCTCAAGTGAACGAACCTTGGTGAGGTAGGATGACAAGCGTTCATTTAAAAGCTGCATGATCTCTTTCTCATTAACACCTAATAGGCTATCCCTCTTCCAGCCACCATGGCCTCCAGAGGAGCTATGATGACCCTCATGGCTATGGCCAACATGTTTTGAGAAGGACACTTCTTTTTTGTGGTGGCTTCCATGATGGGACACACAGTGACCTCCATGTTGGGACATGTGATTGCTTCCATGGTGGGAGCCATGAGAACCTCCATGGTGGGATCTGTGGTGGCCTTCATTGTGAGATGTATTATCACCCTCATGATGAGAAATGTGGTGGTTTCCATGGTGGGACATATTGTGACCTCCATAACTTGACATGTGGGAGCCCCCATGATGGGACAATTGGGAACCTTCAGGATGGGATGTGTGATGGCTTTCATGACGTGACATGTGGGAGCCTCCATGAAGTGATGTGTGGGAGCCTCCATGATGGGACATATGGTGATCTCCAAGACTTGACATGTTGGAACCTCCATGTTGAGACATGTGGTGACCTCCATGATGTGATGTGTTCTGACCTCCATTATGTGACATGTGGGAGCCTCCAAGATGGGATATGTGGTTATCTCCATGAAGTAACATGTGGGAGCCTCCAAGACTTGACATGCGGTGACCTCCATGATGGGATGTGTGGTGATCTCCAAGACTTGACATGTGGGAACCTCCATGGTGAGACATGTGGTGACCTCCATGATGTGATGTGTTCTGTCCTCCATTATGTGAGATGTGGGAGCCTCCATGATCGTATATGTGGTGACCTCCATGAAGTAACATTTGGGAGCCCCCATGATGAGACATATGGTGACCTCCATGACTTGACATGCGGTGACCTCCATGACTTGACATGCGGTGACCTCCATGGTTGGATATGTGGTGACCTCCATGATCGGATGTGTGGTGACCTCCATGATGTGACATATGAGACCCTCCATGGTGGGACATGCTAGATCCTCCATGATGTGACGTGTGTGACCCTCCATGATGTGAAGTCGCATGACCTGAATGAGGTCCACCAGCACGGTGGCTTCCCATATGAGATCCAGCAGATGAGTAGCAGTGCCTGGCGTTGTGGCTCATGTTGTCTGCCTAGCTAGATCTCCAACAGAACCACAATTATAACTTCCAACAACTAAGCTAAATGCTCACCTCTGCTTTTATAAGAAGAGAACTGGGTGGTATATGTAAATAAGTAATAGTCATGGACATTTTACAAGCATCCAACATAATTTCCATCTAACATTATACTATCCATATAATATAATATATTTTTACTGAATGATGACAGTCTTCCCTCATAATTTGTTTATAAAACTCAACTACAAAGGAAGAAAGCAATAAAACTTTATTGTTGTGCCATACTACAAAGGCAAATATTTACTACATTTCGGGAATGTCAAACTAGCTACTTGTGTAGGCAATTGAAGACCTTTTTTATGCAGATTTAATAGGAACACCCCTAGACAGCATATTTATTACTAGGTCTGAATAGCATAAGGATGTACATGTGTTAAAAGCTATTAACATCAAAGTTATATAACCTTCCTACAGGAAAAAGGAAATCCCTCAGCAGGTGTTACTGATTGGTTGTTTGCATACCATTCACAAATCTTTCTCTGCAGCTGGGCATTTTCCATCTCAGGAGAACAAACCTTGTTAAGGTAGGATGACAAGCGGTCATTCAAAAGCTGCATGGTCTCTTTCCCATTAATGCAAAAAAGGCTATCACTCTTCCAGCTACCATGGCCCCCATAGAAATTGTGATGGCCCTCATGGCTATGGCTAACACATTTTGAGAAAGACAATTCTTTTTTGTGGTGGCTTCCATGATGGGACACATGATGACCTCCATGATGGGGCATGTGATTGCTTTCATGGTGGAAGCCTCCATGATGAGATGCATTATGACCCCCATGATGAAAAAAATGGGTGGCTCCCATGGTGGGACATATGATGACCTCCATTATCTGACATGTGGGAATCCTATTTACTTGTTCAACAATTGGTAGTGGTCATTGATGCAGGGAGGTTTGCTGATCTAATGATGGCAGCACTGTTCTGTGCATCATTGTAATGTGAGTGTCGGGCGCCACGATGCCACGCCCAGAGGGAGGACTCAGAGGAAGGTGGTTGAAATATGCTGGGTATCATTTAACTGGGAAGATCGACACAAGCAAAATGGTCAGTCTTGGGTGAAAAGTGACTGGGAGAAGGTGATTATTGTAGTATTGGGTTTGACATCTATTTTTTTATTTTTTTTAGTACTCAACAATTATTCAAACTCAATAAATAACCAATTTTCAAAAAAAGGAAACTGTATACATTGAGGTATTGATGGTGCTAAACATATTGAAAAATAGATTTTTTGTTAACACAGACCTTAAAAGAGAAGCTTAACCAAAAATGTCCCAAGGTCAGGAGATGATAGGCTAATGCCCGTTCTCTGCTGACAACACAGAGCCGTGCCACAGCCAGGAAAGATCCCAACAATATTGTCGGTATGCACTAGACTTGTGCGCTGTCAAAAAATGTGTTCCGTTTCGTTTCGTTCCGTTTCGTAATATCCATTATTTCGTAATTCGTATCCGAAACTCAATTCGGATTCGTACGAAATACGGATTTTCGTTAGTTTCGGCACATTTTCGTAAATTTTCGTAAATTGTTAATATTGGAGTCGATGTGGTAGTTGTTTTTGTATCCGAAATATGAATTCCGTTAACGGATTCCGTATCCGCTTTTCGTATTTCGTATAAAAAAAACTACCATCAAGTAACTCCAATATAAATGTACTTTGCTTTTTACCTTCAATATAACGAATGTTCGTAACGGAACGAAAATACGTCAACGGAATTTCGTATTTCCTGCCTGTATATTGTAATGCAACTCTCAGCAGCAGAAGAGAACCTCTGATTGGTCAACCAAAACGAAATACGAATTCCGTTAACGGATTCCGTATCCGAATTTCGTATTTCGTATTAAAAAAAACTACCATCAACTCCAATATAAATGTACTTTGCTTTTTAACTTCAATATAACGAACGTTCGTAACGGAACGAAAATATGTCAACGGAATTTCATATTGCCTGTGTATTCTAATGCCACCCTCAGCAGCAGCGGATCCGTATTTTTCGGATTTAAAAAAAAATCTTGTCGTGTTGTTCAACCTCATTTACAGGGGTAATATTAGTTCCTGTTTCAAAGAAATTTGGATCGGAAATTCGTTAACGGAATTTCGTATTTCGTATATAATTCGGAAACTGCAATTCGGATTTCGTATGCTTACGAATCTACGAATTTCAGGAAATTTCATACGAATTTCAGGAAAATTCATACGAATTTCAGGAAAATTCGTACGAATTTCGATTTGTAACGAAACGAATCGCACATGTCTAGTATGCACCACCACTGCCTAAGTGACAGATGGGCCAATCATGCATGTTCTTGAACGATGGAGGAATAGAGAGGGGGTCCCCAGTGGGGAGCAGTGAGCATGAATTGAGCAATCAGTGGTTACCTGATCGCTCAGTTCTCGGTATAGGGCTGGTGTGAGACAGCTGCAGCATACTTTATTTTCTCTGAACTTCTCCTTAAAAGGAATTCTAACGTGCATGTTAATAATGGGTACTCTTGTTGAATTATTATAGTGTGAAGTCTCCTTCTAAAGAGTACAAACTGCAACCATGTTGTTAAATGACAGATTCCCAACTGCGGTAATGTAAATTGACAGCTGGGGATCAAGAGAGATGTTGACCAAGTCTGTCATTTAGCGACAGGAGTGCATCATGTATACACAGGCCCGGCGCTACCGCAAGGCAAGTCAGGCGGCCGCCTGAGGGCACTGCAGGGTGAGGGCGGAAAAAACAGGGCATTTTGACAAGACTTGTACTTGTCAAAATGCCCCGATGTTTGCGCTATGTTTTTTTTTTCCACTTACCTTTGAGTAAGTGAAAAACTTACCTTTTTCACTTACCTTTGGTGCGGGAGAGCAGTGGCGAGTCAGCGCTGGTCCAGTGGGAGGAGCTCCAGGTGGGGTCCTAATTTAGCTGGCCAGCGACTTCCAGAGGATCCCGACATGCGTGGCACCTCAGGCAGTCGCCGGCCAGCTAAATTAGGACCCCACCTGGAGCTCCTCCCACTGGACCAGCGCTGACTCGCCGCTGCTCTCCCGTGCCGAAGGTAAGTGAAAAAAAAAAACATAGCGCAAAAATGCACCTTGCCTGTGTAGGCAAGAATCCTAGCTCCGGCCCTGTGTATACAACAGTGATGGCAGGTCATTGTGATTGATGCTGTACTTATGTTGCTGGACACTGTTACTTATGTGGAATTACTGTAATGTATCCCTGTACTCATTTCCCTGTAAGGGGCAAGATTGCTGGTCCCCCCCTTACTTTAAGGGGGCTTCCAGATTCAACCATAAGTTCCCTCTATATTACCCCCACCTGATTTCTGGTTCACGGGAGGTGGGAAGAGGCCCTAGTCCCTCAACATCAGGACAAGAGTACTTTGGAAGAGGGGGGAGGCTTGTGGCACCCTTTTTTGCAAGGTCCCCCCCAATAATGGGGGGGCTGCAACCTCAATGCCCTCCTTTACCTAGCCACCCAGGTTGCATGCATGGATAAGGGTCTTATAAGCGGCCAGCAGGGGGCTCATCAACGATTACTGTTTCCTTGTGCCCACTACCAGCCTGCAGCAGTATTTGTCCCTTGCCCCCGGGCCCACCAAACCCTCCCGTTGCTGCTTCAACACAGCAGAGTCTCATGGTTTGGCAGGGGGTGTTGGGGGGGCCAAGGGGGGTCTTGGCTCTCAGAGCTGCTCACCGATTGTGTTCTGCTTCCTCTTTGGCCCTAAGACTGTTCAGCGCGCCTAGATGATTAGGTCCCTGTTTGTGTCTCCCTATGGTTAAAGTCAGTTTAGCCCTAATCGGACCAACTACCACGGAGCTTAAAAAAAAAAAAAAACATTTCCCAGCAATTACAATTCTCCAGTGACTGAGCAGCGCTTTCTTCCCGGCTGAGTTCTATCTGTCCTGTCTGCTGGAACGCTGTTGTGTCAGATTGGTGCTGGGATGACAGCAGCCCCGGAGATGTGTGAATACCTGAGGGGACACACAGTGACAGCTCTCAGCAACACATTAAGACTGATAACTGTGCCCAAAGATGTAAGGCATGTGGAAGCAGCCCTGAAAACAATTCACCGAGCCATGTATGACACATATTCTCCACAGGACTGATGCATGCATTTTTGCACAGGTGAAGGTAAATTATTCTGCCCCTGCCACCCCTTCTCAGCACCCTCTGACTGCTGCCTTTGCCAGCCCTGCTTGAGCTGCTTGCTGATTGGCTCCTGCTCTCTTGTTCGGCCCTGCCCCTGGCGTGGATTATCCAGCACTCCCGGTCCAGGTGAGAAGAGATGGCAGAACGGCAGGTGTCACGCTGGTACTTCAGGTAGCTGGCCTCCTGCGGGGAGGCCTGCTGCACCCCACTGGAGCTGCTGTAGGTGAGCGCTCACCCATATGCTGACATGGAATGACCACCCTGTATTGATTCTGGTCTGAGGTCTGCAGTGCATTGGTTTTATTCTGAGGTCTGCAGGGTGACACACACACACACACTCTGATCCCTGTGGAATATGTCTGTGTGTGATGGCCGATCCTGGAGATTTTGTTGTGTCTGTGTCATTCTAACTGCCCAGTCTAAGGTCTGCCGTGAATTGGTTCTGGCCTGAGTTCTGCTGTACATTGGTCCTGGTCTGAAGTCTGCAGTGCATTGGTTATATTCTGAGGTCTGTCGTGTATTGGTGCTGGTCTGAGGTTTGTCATGCATTGGTACTGGTCTGAGGTTTGTCATGCATTGGTACTGGTCATGGGCAGATTGACTAATTGAGAGCCTTACTGCACACACTGGAGCAGGGGGCGTGAAGGGGGCATGGGATTGAATTCTGCACATGCAAAATGCTCCCAACGGTCTGCCCTGTATTTTGTTGTGTCTGTGTCATTCTAACTGCCCAGTCTGAGGTCTGCCATGAATTGGTTCTGGCCTGAGGTCTTCAATTCATTGGTTTTATTCTGTGGTCTACGTGTATTAGTTCCGGTATAAAGTCTGCTGTGTATTGGTTCTGGTCTATGGTCTGCTGTACATTGGTCCTATTCTGAGGTCTGCCGTGTATTGGTTCTGGTCTGAGGTCTGCCTTGTATTATTGTAGAACAATAGCACAATGTGTGCTAAAGGAAAACACTACAGAACTATAGCTTCCCTTTTCTTAAAGGTAACCTGTCAGACATCCAGCATTTCCAGAAATGCAGCTGCAGCGCTAGAACAGAGGGAAGATAGGAGACATTGGCATTGAGTATAACAGCTCTTCTATTGCAGACAATCTTTTTTTTTTAGAGACTGACAGGGACTCTAACACCATTATATGTTGTATTATTCCATAATAAAACACACCAGTTTAGAGGAGAGAAAATTAGTTCTTTATTATAGCTTATGCATTTCGGCATCAGAGCGTGAGGAAGATAATTGCATTCAGAAAGTGTGCAAGAGAGAAATAATGTGGGGTCTATTTATAAGCAAGTTGCCCTATGACATTGCATGTACATTCCTTCTATGCAAATGGAGGCAAAAATTAATGTTATCAGTATATTTTCTTTCAGGTCGAATGCAATTTAATGTAAATACCACATTATGGCCACTAGATGCAGATGGGGATTAAAAGAAGCAAACTAGTTCTATTTATTCTCCTCTGCTCCATCTAGTGGTCATAATGTGGTATTTACATTAAATCACATTCCACTTGGAAATAAGATATACTAATAGCATTTATTTTTGCCTTCATTTGCACAGAAGGAATGTACATGCAATTTCTCAGGGCTTATGGATCTGCAAATTGTTTATAAATACAACCCTAAATGTACAATTAACAATTGCAAAAGGAGCACTATTGTCTGACTTCAATACATCATACAGATCAGAAAACACCTTTCAAACATTCTTTTTCTTGTCTCTGAAATTGCTAGGACATGATTCTAGTAGTTGCATGCAATTAGCTGATGTGATTATAAAAACAGGCTGAAGATTCCTTTTGCCATGTTTAAAAACCTGCCTTTTATGGGCTGTTTATGACAATCACAGGTTCTCACCTAGACAGAATGAGCTCAGCCGTTTTGACATCCTTAAAAAAAAGAACACCAGCCATTAAACATTACAGGCACATCACTTACATACAGTCAATGAACACTTAATAAAGCCTCCTTAGTGCTGTGAATTCACGCTCCCCTTGCAGACTAAGCGTCTCTGCTTTTTTGTGTGGCATCAACAAAACTTCCAGATGTGCCATAGACTTCCTTTGAGATTCCTCTACCTGACTGACCACTGTTCTTCCCCCAGGCCCTGTTGGGCACACCTGGAAGTGCCTGTTAGAACATAAGAAAAGCTCTGTACTTTTGGGTATAAAGGTGCCCCCTGCCTCCCCCAATGCCCGAGTAGCCAATTGCCAGAGCACTGTCGTGTTGAGGTGAGAGACGATCCTTAGCATTGGGTAGTTTCCGTCCTGGTGTTGGATGCAAGCTAACTCAGTTAATGATCAAATTTGCTAATTACAAGTTTGTTACAAGTTTGCCTTTGATTGATTTCCAAATGTATCCTATGGATTTGCAGTAAGTTGACTCTTATGCCTAATTGTAACTTTAGGACAGCTGAGCCAATGAGCAGAAGGAAGTGGGCAGTGGTATGACCAGGCAACGTGCAGTGCACATTTATAGTCCTATCTAGAAGTCATGAACATGAATAGCAACCATCTCAAGGCCATTTTAAGTAAGGGGAATAGTAAGGGAGCTAGTACCAGTTACAACAGAGTTGGGAGCACCTTAACGAAATGGGTAAGGGATAGCCTAAATCACTACAGGTTATTCATATTGACTTAGTCAACGTGTTTTCATATGAAATAAGGCCTGGGTTAGGGCCTTAACATTAAAGTGAACCTGTACTATTCCCATGCAGGACAAAGCAAAAGTTTACTATGATTCCAGCAGCACAGCAGCTTAGACTTACTTCCCCACATTGCTAAGGTCTCTCTGCCTTTCTTCCAACAGCATTGATTGCCCAAGCAGCCAATCACCAAAAATATTTTTTTTTACAATGTCAATTAGCTATAGACATTACAAATACAAGATCTATGCATGACTCATATAAGATTTGTTTTAATCAATTGTATAAAAGTCACATCTGCCTTTAAAGAGAATCTGTCAATTTCCCCAGTCAGGGAAAAGTGTTAGGTTCTCTTCAAAGAAGAACGCCCCGCCCACTGATGCTCAATTATGTTGTTTACTGTTGCTTACTCAGATCCCTCATTAAGAATCTGTTACTACTGAATATGGAGAAGCATATGGCATGCAGATATGGGGCCTAGTGGCCAATTGACAGGCTCAAACATGGTCAAGTGAGGGAGGGGAGGCACACATTAACTTAACAGTATTCAACATGTAACAGGATTAGAACTTTGAAGGTAAGTATCACTGGATGGAGGTTTCTTCTTTCAAGAGATCCTGTCACTTAGCCCTGAATGGGCAAAGTTACAGAGGCTCTTTAGATCCCATATAAGAACCTAGCCAGCATGTTTAACAGAGCTGAGCTCTACATTTGTTAGATACATTTTTCTCTTGAGAAACCTGCCACATTTATGTTATGGGATATAAACTTAATTTAGAATAATGATTGGCCAACTACTTTATCATAGCCCCAGGGAGCTCTTGCAGCTTAAAATGGACCTGGTCTATTTGCTTATTGCTGAGGAATTCCATTGTGCTTGTTCATCCACACAGACTAGATAGCATTTCAAAACTCGCTCTGATCCACCCACACTTTCCCCAAACCTTCCCTATTTGATTAAAGCCATTCCTATTAAACCTTTCTAGGAGCCAGAGGTCAAGACTGTCCCATTAAAATATAGATAGGTAGAAGTGAAGCAGGTATTCTCATTGCAGCTGTAATTTTTTAGTGTAGTTGAAAAATTAAAGCAAGCTGTTGGGTTGCAATGTACAAAGCCTTCACTTTTCTTTTTCTAAAAGTCACAGCTCTGACCTGGACCAAATACATTTTTGGCTCCATTACCTGTCCTGAACTGAGCAAGTAGGAACATGGTTCCTTAACCACTAAATAGATCATTCAAGTCCCCTACAACAAACTCCACATACTATGTACCATCTTTCAGAAAAATAAAGATAGGATAGGATACTGAAGAGGAAATTTGTCGTGCCTGTTTTTATTTTGTATATGTCTGAATATGAATTGATGTTGTTAAATGAATGATGAATCCACTGATAAGATTTGTCATGTTAGTCTTCTGGATTTTTCATTACAGTTTCGTTGTCCTTCTGTTCATCATTGGAACTTTGTTCTGCAAAACAGAAAGTATAAACTATTACTAGGGATGCACCGGTACCGTTTTTTCGGTATTGAGTACGAGTCCTGATATTTTTTTTCCGGTACTCTGCCGATACCGAATACCAATACCGGAAGTCCCGTTAAGGAAGCCAGGTGGCATGTAATGACTCACCACCTGGCTTCCTAATTAGCCAGGAAGTCGGGCAGCGTCTAAAGACTCGCTACCCGGCTTCCTGATTAGCAGGGAAGTCGTCTCCATGCTTCTCGTCACTAAGTGATGAAAAAGCATGGAGCCAGCTTTCTGGCCAATCAGGAAGCCGGGCGCCATGTAATGACGCGGCACCCAGCTTCCTGATTGGCTAGGAAGCCGGCTCCATGCTCCCTCGTCACGAGGGAAGCCCTCTCCATGCTTCTCGTCACTAGGTGACGTGAAAGCATGGAGCTTGCTTTTTGGCCAGCTACCCAACCAACCAGGAAGCCGGGCAGCAAGTCATTACACGCTGCCCGACTTCCTGATTGGCCGGGAAGCCAGCCCCATGTTCCCTCATCACCAATGATGCTGCCCGGCTTCCTGATACTGGAAGCTCAGGTATCGGGGTAGGTATTGGAGCATTTGGGCAAGTATAAGTACTTGCCCAAATACTCGGCACCAATACTAGTATGGGTATCGGTGCACCCCCAACTATTACATAATTTTTTTAATTATGCTGTTTAAAAAGCAGATGCTTAAAGTGACATTAAAGTCAAAAACGTTTTCCCTCCCCCAAATGTTAATTAAAGCACTTACCTTAAATGATGTCTCTTAATGCAATCTTCCTCTTCTTTCCTGTCCTTTTCAGCCTTCTCTCCAGCGCTGCTGCGGGTCTCCGATCCAGCGCTGACTCCTCTGTCCTTGCTGGCACTTCCTGTCCCACGGTGTCTGCATGCGGGTGCATGCGTCCCTAGACTTACCTTGCATCTCTCCTCGTCCCCCGGCCGAAAATCCGAACTGCGCATGCGCCCCCCCCCCAAGATGCTTTGCGGCCGCCCAAGCATTCTCTAAATTTTCGGACAGGAGCGCGCGGCGAAGACAGAGGTAAGTTTAAACCACTTTTAAAGCGCTTTTTTTTTTTATATATACAGTATCTACTACTTGTTAGCAGTAGATATATGAAAAAAATGGAGGGTTTAGAAACCCTTTAAATCCCAACTGTGAGCATCACTGGCTGCAATACGCTCCTCCTCCCTGACACTAACCTACCAGGTCCACACAAACTCATGCCTAAAATGAATGCATGCTTGTGTATACCAATCATGTATGTATCAAAGCAATAGGTATATTTAATCAACAAACTACTAATGGTAGCCAATACTAAATGCAACCGTGCTAAAGTCTGACCTACTACTCAACTTAGCTTTAACGCCGACCTCCGGGCAAACAGCTAATCATATTTAATTTAAATATTTCTACCAAAATGTATTTATTAGGGCTTTTACAAGTTATACCTTCATGCTGGGTGTCTGTAGAAGCTCTCCTAACATTGTAGGTGAAAGGAGCATGAATACAAATGGAGAAACATACTACTGACTGACTGTTTTTGCTATGTCACTCTTACATACTCACCAATGTGTTCTCTGAAGGGAGGTTGTCCAATTAAACTGCAAATTCAAAATGTTAAAATTATTACCATTATTACATACCACACAGTATACTATAGTGTATTATGTATCCAGTTGATAGGTCAAGAACCTTGTGCACACTGGTATTCAATAATCGACTCGCTAGGGTTTAGTTGTCTAAAGGAGTAGAACTTGGTCTCTTGGCAATGTTACTTTTCAATCCAAGCAAAAATTCATTTTTTTTAAATTTTCCTCGCACATGATTGAGTATTTTTTGCAAAGTGAAAATTCACTTTGAAAACTAAAAATTTACTACTCTGTCAGTAAAATCAAGCACTTTGAGTCATTACTGAATACTGGATGCCACATATAAAACACAGGACGTTGTGAAATGTCCATTATGTCTGGGTATGAAGGAACATGTGACTATCTTTCTTCACATGAATGGCCAAGTGAAGGGGTGAAGCACATACTGTATGTGGAAGGGGAAAGAGTCCTTAGTAGACATGTAACCCCACAAAACAAAAATTTTAGTTTCGGTTTGATTAAGATTTTTATTTCTTTGTTTTTCAGATCCGAAATTCGATTCAGTTTGTTATTCGTATTTTGTATCCTTCCAAATTTCCGTTTAGAATAGTTCCGCAACAGAGAGTTACATAACCGTGCCTGTAATGCAACAGCCAAAAAAACATTTGAATGGACAGAGAACAGTGACATGTCCAGTTTAGTTTCGTTTTGAATGAAATTCGGATGGATCCAAATTTTTGTTAAAGGAACATTTAGATTCTTTCACATTCGCATGCTGTTTGAAGTCGGAATTTTGGATGCATCCCAATGTCCGAATTTAACGAAAATTAACGATCCTGAAGAGCAGTCTACAATGATGACATCAGCAAGAGGGTCCCAGCCAGGACTGGTTGGCTGGGGTACATTGGCAGTGCTGGCTGGTTTACTAGTCATCCACACCTAGAAATGGGGCCAGCAAAGGTGTTTAAGTTTTGTCTCTCTCCCCCTTAGTAGCGGCTGTCTAAAGTGCTGAGAGTCATCATGTCCTATACAGTGTATAGGACGTGCGGACTCTGAGGAAATTCCATCGCTGTAGCGGAGGATGAGACAGGCTGCAGAAACTAGTCTAGGAGCCAGCCAGCTGCGAGGCTCAGGTGAGTATATCTTTTTCATTTTCATCGCTAGACGAAAATGAGCACTTGACTCTTGCAGTGTCCATCAGCTAGGTTAGAATTTGCAGGGTAATTACTTTGCTTTCTCGAGACATGGCAAATTCAAGGTTGGACCCTCCTCCACTTGGCTCCAAAACGTACTTATTGGTTCATTAATGCTATAAGTGCTTTTTATGACCAATGGGGATTCTGCCAGGGACCCAGGGGGGCCGTTCCTCATCAGGTTCGCAGGCATCGGGCGCAGGTAGCTCCTCCTCCTCCCCCTGGCAGGGCATCTGGCGCTGGTGTGGCCAGTGCGCAATTCGCGTAGTGTGCCTGCGCCATTTCAAGCCACAGGTGCTACTCATGCTGGGGGAGGACTTCAAGCTTCCTGGTTGCCCTGGCAACCAGGGGGAGGTCCTGGGTTCCCTGTGTATTTAAAGCTAGTCAGAGCCTTGACTCATTGCTGAGTTATTCTACCTCATGGTGAACACCCAGCTCCCTCCTGTGAACCTGTTGTTTGATCTGACTTCCCGACTACCGACCCTTTTGCTTGACCCTTCGACTACGATTCCTGCTGCCCGCCACAACCCGGAACTGGACCTGACTACCCGATTGGATTATACTTTTGTACTGCACTTTTGGGACATAATTCGTCCCTGCCAAGGGGTTCCACACCTGGCCCATTATTCCAGCCCTAACAGATTCTCAAGAAGTGCAACTTAGCAGGCCTGAGATCTACATTTACAGGAAAGCTATGCTGCTTATATCTTTGGACATACTGATCATTTTGTCTGGAGATAGCCTTGTGCATATTTTTATTCTATGTTCTGTTTAAATTGCTTGGCTTAGAATAAGTTTTCTGCAAACTACTTACTTGATGCCATGTCCATCCATTAGATATTGGTATGTACTAATCTCCTGTTCCAAATGGGTTTTCTTGTCCATGAGAAGTTGGTACTCCTCAATCTGGCTTTCCAGCTCAGTTCGAATCTGATCCAATTGGCTTTCCACACTATTGATCACTCCCTGTAGCTGAGCAAGCTCTGAGACATAATAAGCCTGTTTCTCTGCTAAAGTTTCCTCCAGAGTTGATATCTAAAATACAACAACCATGAGATTTATAATTAATACAAGAAGTAACTACAGTATATTAGCCATATTTCACAACTTGGCACAGCTAATGTGGCAATTAGTATGTAATTGGAACCACATTTCTTTTAAAGAAGAATACAATTTTTGCATAAATAGATTTTTTTTTAAAATATTGTTTTAACACAATTACATATTATTGAGAATTTTAAAGGGATACAAGAGATGATGCCCAGAATATACCTTCTGATACAGGTATAAAAATGTTAAACAGTAAATGAGGTAGGCACATGGATGTATAATGTTATGAGATTATACATTCAATAGTATAATGTACATGATATCCATATTGTCACATTATGGTAATACAATAGTAATAATAAAAGGGATGCCCAGTGTGGACAGGTGATGTATAGTATGAAGTAGTTGGATGTACAGAATATCCCCATGGGGCACTCCCTGTAGCAGGTAGCTTTCTGGTATTATTTTAATATTGCATATCAGCATAGCCCCATGAATGACAAACTTCCTATATTACTTCATCAGATGCATTGAACCATGTGTACTGGCATATAAATAGAAAATGTGCCCTACCATGTATTGTTCACGTTGCAGTTCGATTTCCAAGGTTTGCAGAGAATGTTTTACATCAATTAGTTCAGTATGAGCTGACTGCAACTGCTCGGAGCCAGAGGTCACTTTTTGATTTAACTTCTCACTCTGCAAGGGACAAAAGCCACATCTAAGCTACAGGCAAAGCTAGTAAACTATATAACAGAAAAGGCAATTCAGCAATAAACAGAAGTCCAAAATTAAAATATAATTAATTCCTCCCATTACATTCCCTTTTCTGTTTCACAAAGTCCTAGTAGGTGTGTGGAATTTCCCAATATTTAAGCTAGCCATACATGGCTAGATAAATCACTGGTTTCCCCCATCCAAGCTAATCTTATTAGATGCAGTCACTGTTTGGCAGACAATTTTCCACTGCCAATTTTCCATCTGGCTCGTTTGATTTAGTAAACAAAGTGTGGTAAGCCTGGTGGTGCCAACAGGGCCACCAATAGCTTGAACGTAGGGCTAGCTTTACCTTTCTGGGTTTCGAAGCCTACGATCCACCTGGCTTCTCTCAGCAACTTTTCATGTACGGGTGCACTTGCAATGCAGGTGCACAAAACAGTTGTTCAGAGAAGTGAGGTTGCTTATAGACTTTCAAAGCCAAAAAGGGAAAGTCATGTGTAATCGAACTGTAAAAAATAGAAGCTACCAGGATCACTAGGTATAAAAATTGAATCACATCTTATACACTTACTGTGAAAGCACTTCTGAGTGGATAAGGAGCCTTAGATTTCCCCAGGCTTCTCTATGGCATGAAGCCATATCCATTTCCTGCAAATCACTTAACTGCCACTCTGAGTGTTGACCCTATTTACACTAAACTATGTCCTGTGAGAGGCTGTAGATTGGGCTACTTCTCACTCTGCCTTCTTGAGCTTTGTCTTTAATATATCTATAGGGTACCAAATAGTCTTTGGCATATGAGTCATCATAAAGCGTGTTGCAGCTTCATGTGGTTATGACTAGGGATGCACCGATACTGATACTAGTATCGGTATCAGTGCAGATCCCGAGTATTTGGGCGAGTACTCATACTCGTATGCTCAGATACGTACCCTGATACCAAAACTTCTGGTTAGAGGGAGATCTCCCTCTGACCAGCAGTGTCGCGAGGGAGCATGGAGCCAGCTTCCTGGCCAATCAGGAAGCAGAGTGGCGGGTCATAACCTGCTTCCCGGCTTCGTGATTGGTTAGGAATTGCCTTGGGATTGCCTGGGAAGCCAGTGTTCTATCAAAAGAACACTGGCTTCACTTCCCTCACGACACTGCTCGGCAGCCTGGCTTCCTCTTACATCACGACCCACCGCCTTGCTTCCTTATTGGTCACTTGTTGCTAGGCAGTCTGGCTTTCTGACCAATATGGAAACCAGGTGGCACGTCATTACCCGCCTCGTGGCTTCCTGATTCTTCCTGACCAATAAGGAAGCAAGGCGGTGGGTCGTGATGTAAGAGGAAGCCAGGCTGCCGAGCAGTGTCGTGAGGGAAGTGAAGCCAGTGTTCTTTTGATAGAACACTGGCTTCCCAGGCAATCAGCAAGCCGGGTGGTGGGTCATGACCCTCCACCCAGCTTCCTGATAATCTGGGTCCACAGATGCCGGTATCGGTATTCGGTATCAGCGATTACAAACCAAAAAATATCGGTACTCGATACCAAAAAACTGTATCGATGCATCCCTAGTTATGACACATGCACTCTGTTACAAAGTGATGACAGTTCTGCCCCTTATAATGCTTGATTGAAAAAAAAAAATTAGGCAGGAATTCGCCATGTTAGAATATTGTTATCTAAAAAAGATCCTCAAAAGTGGGGGTGAACATTAGCAACCAAAAACGTTCCTACTAGGGATGCACTGATACCGCATTTTTGGTATTGAGTTCAAATATCATTTTTTTTTCCAGTACTTGCCGATACCGAATACCGGCATCGCCATCTGTAGGCCCAGATTATCGAAAGAACACCGGCTTCACTTCCCTTGCAACGCTGCCGGTCAGAGGGAGGAGATCTCGCTCTAACCGGAAGTTCCGTTTTTTTACTTGCCCAAATACTTGGTAATTGGTATTGGTGCATCCCTAGTTCCTATACTTGGAGTGTGTATATATACATATATATATATATTTTTTTTTTATTTATTTATGTATTTCTTTTTTTTTTTAATCCCCTCCACTAAAACATTATATAGAATTATTTTGCAAATGTTACATTCATGAGTTTCTTACTTAAACATTTTATTTATCTTTTCCTCCTCAGTGAAGTTTATTGTAAGTATGTAACCTGTTGGCAATGCTGGTGAAATGGAAAAAGTGCAGGAAGTTTGTGCTCATTGTGACAGAGAAGCTTCTTATTGAGGCATATTATTCATGACAATTGGTAGATATAAAAAGCAACATTTGCTTAGAAACCCATGGTTCAGACACACTAAAGAATTCAACTTCAGCATCACCATTAATGCAAATGAGATCTAAATAATTTTGTTTTCCATCAGAAGGTTTATTGGTCAAAATATATTTTTACTGAAAACATTTTTTTTTGTTATAGCATTTTAAGACTTAAGAATAAGCATTTACCCTTTGCAGAAAAAGGTTTTCAATTTTCCTCAGGTTCTTTTCCATTAGTTCCTCATATTCTTCTCGAATACCAGATAATGCATTATTGAGATCAGCAGATGCAGAAACTTCTACCTCCACACTGACTCTGGTCCCAAGTTGAGATGTCAAAAAGTTTATGTCCTACATCATTAGAGAAGGTGGCAAGTTATTAATCAAAAGACAATGCATCACCATGCACATGACAGTTGTATACTTGGTTTACATGGTTGTGTCAAGTAGTCTACAAGTGTATTTCATACATCACCTGCTCACTGTCCCTCCTTATCTTCAACATCTCTTGCTGAAGTTTGTCAGCCTCAGAATCCAGTTTAACTGACTGGTCATTAAACCCGTCCAAAACAGCATGCAGCCAATTCACATCAGCATCAATACTGGTTTTCAAAATTAGCTCCACCTCATACCTTTAATAAATAAAAACAGGTCTTTATAAGCCAACATTAGAAAGAAGGATGCTTTAAACATACCCAAAACTTTCATTATAGTTTTTAGTTGAATTCAGTCAGTTGAATTACCACTGGGTCAATAAATCTCTTAGTTAATAAGAAATCGGATACTATGCCTGGGGGTGTAAAAGGCCAAACTATATCGGTATCTTTATTACTGATGAGTAAATGTATCCAGATTTGCTGTTCTAGTGATCCAGTCACAGCAACCTAATATCTGTCAGCATCGAAGCGAACTAGTAAAGTGGTCCATTGGACCTCCTACCACTTATTATTATTATAATACAGGATTTATATAGCGACAACAATTTATGTCTCGCTTTACAATATAAGGAAGACATTACAATCACAATACAATTCAAGACAAGATGGTAAGTTCACTTCTGCCAAGCCACTGCAAGCCATCATTATCTGAGTCTCATACCCACACTCAATGTTCTCTGTTTAGCATGAAAATGGCCAATAGAGGGTATTGTAATATACAAGGACAGTACACCACTACTTGCAATACACCATAGTGTTTATTCCACGCTACTTCTGCACGTCATTCAAAAACTGCAGCCCATGGTGTAGAATCTGCATGGCCTTTTGAGTGTTCTCTGCATAATACTGCAGAGAATACTCTGTGATAGGAGGAAGGCTTTGTCACATGACTTTGACAGCTAAAATCTCAAAGCAAAGAAAGTGGAAGGCACATCTGTAAAGTATACAGCTGTACTGGACAATTATTTTTTTTTAAAGCAGTTGCATGGACGCAGTGGGGCCCTACCAACGTTTATTACACAAAACCCTCAATTTAAATGTTTTTCTAAAGCAGAGGTGAACTGGTAAAAACCCGTGTGCCAATAATTAATTTTCTCTACACATCAGTCATACACGATGAACATCACAGCTCGCTGAAAATTGGCTGGATTTGGGGGGAATCCTGGTTTCAGCAGACCGATCTGCTTATCGTTATTCTTTCCCTTTAATCTTGACCCTAATTATAGAGTCTGTATATTGAAATTCCAAATTCATTTTAATATTCTCTTTTGGTTTGCTTTTCATTTACTACCTTTATAGCATCAACTTACTTGTTATTGTATTCATCAACAGCCATCCTAGCATTGTCAATATTCCTGATAATACCCACATTGTTTGTAAAAACTGTAGAGATCTGTAAGACATAAGAATTTAAGAATCATGCCGTTAATGCACATTTTCCAATCAACAGTCAAATGTTAAAGCAAAATAATAACTCGAGATTACCATAGTTACATAGTTAGCCAAGTTGAAAAAAGACACAATTCCATCAAGTTCAATCGATCAAATTGCAGGTGCTTTCAAAGTAACCATATCTGTTCTGTATAAGGTTTCTGGGTAGAGATAGGTGCAATAGAGGGGTAAGCAGGACGCAAAGTAGACAGAAAATAATTTACATTATCTGTCCAATATAGTGTTACTGAATCAGACTGTAATTCAAAAGTGAGCAGCAAAAAAACATTATTAAACACTAATACAAAATGAAAATGTATGTTCACAAATGGACAAAGTCTGTAAAGGAGAATGGAAGAGCTGGAGCTGTTATTTGAGGAGTATTTGGACTTGGTAGGAGTATCAGAATCCGGGTTGGATAGCTCACATAGGTTGTTGTTGTTGTTGTTGTTGTTGTTGTTGTTATTATTATTATAATACAGGATTTATATAGTGCCAACAGTTTCTGCAGCACTTTACAAAATAAAAATATAAAGAGGTGCACTCTGTTTTGGAGGGATAGGATTAGAAGAAGAGTGCATAGGGTTTGCATATATGTCAAGAGCAATCTGACCGTGAATATGAGAGATGACGTAACTAGTGTGAGTAGTGATGGAGTCATTGGAGGGAATTTTTCAAAACTGGAGCATACAAAATCTGGAGCAGCTGCCCATGGCATCCAATCAGCATCTCTCTTCAGTTCGCTCAGGTAAGATTTGAAAATGAGACAGAGATGCTGATTGGTTGCAGTGCAAATCTGCTCCAGATTTTGTCTGCTCTAGTTTTGATAAATTCCCCCATAGTGTCTGGAGCTTAATGTGAGTGCATCAAATAGTAAATTGACTGTGGTAATATGTTATAGAGTCCCTAAAATAAAGGATGATGAAAAAAATTGGCTCTTTTCATAGACAGAAATGGCTTGAAAAAAGGGCGAGGTTATTTTTATGGGGGATTTCAACGATCTTAATATTGATTAGGCAAATGGAACTGCCCAATTAAGAAAGACTTTTCACTTCTTGACGTTATTGCAGGACAATTCCATGATTCAGATGGTGGAATCCCCAACAAGAAAAAAAAGCAACGTGGGAGCTATTAATTTCAAATAGCACAGAGCTCATTACAGATGTTAACACACTGTCAGAGTTCCACCCTGACTTTACTGGTTTGCAGAATGCTGGCTTGGCTGCCATTTCACTCACCTGTTCCTTCCTTGCTCAAGCAGACTTTGTAACGTTGCTCACTACTCCCGGGCTATATATATATATATATATACCACTCAGTCCAGTCTGACCTTGTGGTCTTCCTGCTAGTGCATATGACCTGATCCTGGCTGATGGTCTCCTCAGGCTCCTGCCTGATGACACTGATTTCCTGGCTCCTGCTTATGGCTTGTTCCTGATGACACAGATTTCTTGGCTTGTTCAAGACAATGCTGATCTCTGTGTTCCTGACCTGGCTCCTGACTGGCTTGTTCCTGACAACGCTGATCTCTGTGTTCCTGACCTGGCTCGGACGACTACCCACTCTGGCTCCTGACTGGCTTGTTCCTGACCTGGCTCGGATGACTACCCACTCTGGCTCCTGATTCTGTGTTCCTGACCTGGCTTGGATGACTTCCCACTCCGGCTCCTGACTATGGCTTGTTCCGGTTTAAGACTCTACTCACTCCTGTGGACACTGTTCTTAATAAATATTTTAACTAGCACCTTTTGCTTGTCTGGTTTTCATTGTGCTCTGGCACACACATTGTCACATTACAGATGTTGACACACATGACAAGCACACACATGCTGGCAGTTACAACAAATGGGAATCAATATAGGCTTCTGCCTATCTACATCACAAATAAAGATATGGGTTTTTTTACCAACCATTTCATTTTTCTTTCATTAAAAAACAACTAAACTTTTACTGGCTTGAATATTTTAATGTTCTACCCTGTGACATACCAGTTAATAGAATGATACCACAAAAATGCACCCAACTCTGATGCTCAACTCATCTACCTCCCTTCTTTTAAAGTGCCTCTGTCTCTGTCAGCATTTCTGCTACTTGCCAATTACCTAGATAATACAATTTAAACTCATAACCTATAGAGTTTTCCCCCATTTTGCCCCTCCAAGTGCAGATATCTATCTTGACCTTCAACACTCCATTCTTGTTAGTTTCTCACACTTTCTTCTTTAAGACTCCTTATAAGCATTTCCCCTTCTGGATCTCCCAAATTATGTTTGGTACTCTCCAATCCCTGAAACTTTCACGTTCTCCCTTAAAATTTAGCTGTTAATGGAACCATATAATTTGACCTAGAGAACTCAATTTTGTCACAATTTCAATAGCAACTCCACCTATGTCGGTCAAGACACACCCTGTCACATTATACAGTATATACAACCTGCTAAATCAGTATACCCTTTTTAGTCAAAAACACAAATCGTACAAACAGCGCTCTTGTAATGATATTGAGGGGGAAAAATGTGTGACCCTAAATAGTGTGCAGCCCTGAAACCCAGGAGGAGTGCCTGTGGATATGCAAACCAGAAACAGAAAACCGAAAGGGCGCAACACTAGGTAGGCTGACTGTCCGGGTCGGAAGACCCAGGGAAGGTGACAGTGAAAATCATGTGACAATGGATGCAAAGGGCAAAAAAACAATGACTAGCTGAGGAAACAAAAGGATGAGCACTTACATTTTAAATCATGGGACCAGAGGATGGACGGCCGGTGTGGAGGATCAGGTCATCTGTGGTGTCTATCTGGAACTGGTGTGCCGGAAGATGTGCATCCACACGGGGAGAGGAGGCTGTGGACGAGGGGGAAAGTGGGGGGAGAGAAACCAAAAGAATGGGGACTCAGTCCGTGGCCCGCTGTGTGAGTCCAGGGGCTAAGTAGTGTGGGAGAGAATCGGCGTTGACAGAAGCAGGCTGAACAGCTGTGGCCGCGGCTGTGGATCGTGATGCTCGGTCACTGTCAGCGCAGACTGGGGCAGTGTGCGGGAGCCGTTGTCGGCTGTCAGTCGGGTCTGGGATGGGAAGAGGGTAGTAGCGGGATGGAAGGGCAGTGAGCAACGCGTTTCGAGGAGTGATACCTCTTTTTCAAGCTCGAGAAGGTTGTGGATCGTGGTTCCCTGTCACCTTCCCTGGATCTTCCGACCCGGACAGTCAGCCTACCTAGTGTTGCGCCCTTTCGGTTTTCTGTTTCTGGTTTGTATACCCTTTTTAGTACCAACTACCCCTTTAAATTGCAATGTTGTGCAGACAGGGAACCCATTCCTATCACTTGACAAGGTTTAAACACATTTATGTATTGTGTATAATCCTTATTACTTTTGTTTGTTTGTTTGTATCACTTATGTTGTTTAGTGCCATGGGAGATGATGCCACTATATAAAGAACAGATGCAGTTTTTTCATGTATTTTTGCCTGTACGAGGCTTATTCTTAAGCAAGATCATCAGTTTAATATAAGTGATAGTGGCATTTGCAGGGTTGTACCATCTTTGGATGGTCTTCACATGAAATGTTATATTTAAAGATTACATTTTCAAGAAGTCTGTCTAATGAGGGATTGTCCTCGCATTCTTCCTAAGTTCTCTGCCTGAGCATTTAACATTCGGGCCCTTTTGTTAGTTTTTGGCTTCCAGTAAAGATCCTTTGTGACCTTTTGGTTAGCACAAATTCACAGAGAGGTCCTTCCTGGGGAGTAGAAGCCAAAGGAGGACCCAAATATAAACTGTACATATGAGACACTTTTGAGGAGCATAGGAGGGATCTTCCATGAGTTAGACTTGTTAAACAAACAGAAATTACAGTTTGATGATGTTAACACCCTTTTTTTTAAGATGGTACATTCCAGTCAGAATCGCCATCACATTGCTTTGACGACAATTAATGGCAATGAGGCCCCTAGAGGTAAAACTGTAACAATAATTGTTTTACATAAACCATTTGCCAAACTGTTGATCTGCACAATAACTATTTAATGTACAAAATATTGTATAATATTTGTTCTGAATAATATATAAAAGTACTATATGCTTACACTGTACCTGATTCTGGAGCTCCTGAATTGTCTTGAAGTACTTGCTAAGGTCTGCAGGCATGCCAGGAGCATTGTTTTCATACCATTTTGCAATCTTCTTCTCAAATCTTTCTTTATCCTGCTCCAGAGAATGAACTTTCTCCAAATAGGAAGACAGCCTTTCATTTAAGTGTATCATGGTCTTTTTTTGATTGAAGTCAAAAATGCTATGATTTTTACACTTATCGTACTCCCTGGAGTTTCTCAAATAAGTATTATGGCAATGTACATTATAGCCATGGCTCACAGGTAAATTCTTAGTATCTTGGAGAGCTTTACATCCATATGAAGTTGCATGGTGACCACTATGCAGAAAAGCCTTGGAGCTTCCATGACCAAATGCTTTGGAATCTACTTTATCGTACATATAAGATCTTCTGTGATGGGACTCATGGAGCTCTCCATAATAAAAAAATTGTGATTGTCCAGTACTTTTAGAGCATCCTCCATGACTGAATCTGGTAAGACATCCATGGTGTGGGCGGCTTGACATCTGAAGAACAGGAGAACCCATACGAGATATATTCTTGTAGGATCTCGCTAAAGAATATCTGTATTTCTCTCTGTGGTTCATGGCGATTGAATGAGTGAATCCAGACAAGTCATAGCCTATGAATAAAACACAAAAGCTTTTGTGCTCGTGGGATCTTTTTTATAACTTGCTCAGCAAGCGTCGGAGAAAGTTGAGTAATCTTTATAGGAATTTTATTAGCATCCAATTCCATTTTTTTTAAATCTTCCTAGGAATCAAGATCAACTAGTGTAGACAAAAAAAGTAGAGAAAATCTAAACAAATAGTAAATATTTTACTGTAATAAAATATTTGTTTTGGGTAGAATAGGGAAGAATTAGAACCCCTGATGTGGTTTTATTTCTATCTGAATCTCCATTGGAGAGATAAACAGCCAGGAAGTGAGAGGGACTTTGCAATAGCAACTCAGGATAAAAAAAAAAACTGTTGGTTTAGCAGACTGAGAGAAGTCTAGTACCCCAGACAATTATTTTCTTTCTTTATCTCTGCTGACGACTCTCCACAATTCCTGTGTGGTAAAACTGTTTTCAGAAGTACAGAAAGAAGGAAAACCTTTCTAGCAGAACTCTGGATAGCAGTTACAATTTGGCAGGGATGCAAGACTCTTCCCACTATAGCCAAAACAACAAAAAGACAATTTGCCTTGATATACACAATAAAACTGGCTCTGTTTAGTGTGTAGGACAATAACATTATAGAATTATTAGTCCCAGTGTCTTCTGTACATGTTTTCTTTGGTCCTGTAAGAAAGCAAGTATAAAAGGTATGCACATTTTTACACTAAACATGAATGATTGAACTTTAAGAAGGTTGTCTCTTCTTTTGTGGCAGCTCAAGGGACTTTTAGCTTGTTATTTCATTTTGCAATAGAAGATCATATAGAAACCTGTTACTTGATGAGGTCCAACACATCCCACTTTCCTCTGTAAAGGGATGCAGATGAAAGTGTTATAAAAAGTTAATTAGGGTGTACTGCTACACAATGGAATAAAAGCATGACACAATGCATAGTCATGGTTAATATTCCGTCCGTTTTTTTACTACGGGCGGACGGCAAGAGGTTAATGTGAAGTGAGAATGTATATAGTTGATTTCCTTAAGCATTACTAGCATATTGCCAGTAGCTGGTCATTTTGGTTATTGCACCATGTTTTTCTTTATTCCCTCCCATTTATGATGTATTTCCTCCTTCTGGTCCAAGAAGTAGTCGTTCTGGTGACATGGCTGCCTATATCATGGCCACATGTAATATGCTCACATGGGGGAAACAATACCATCTTTGACCTGCAAATAACATAATTCTATCATCTGCTACATCCTGTTGTCTGCTGTAACCTGCTGCATTTAATAAAGAGCTTTGTGGTTAAAAAGGTATTTGGTGAGTTCAGCTATCTGATAAGGATCCACGGTATGGATTGTCCCCGGTGCTTAAATCTGCTTATTCAGGTCAGACATAGAGGTCTCAGCAAGGGATAAATCACTAATATAACAATCGGAGTCAGAATAAAGGGCAATGGTAAACCACATTTTTGTCAGTTCAGCTTTTTAGAAGTTGAACTGGTGACAATTACCATGTTCAGAGTAGATGGCAAAAAAATAAAAACATTGTCTTGTTTTTCTGCAGAAGGTTCAACTGCTATGGCACACTAGAGCAGGCAAGTGAGCACTTGTATTGCAAAATGTGTTATCATGTTCTCTGATCTAGTCTGCTCACTTAATAATTTATGGGGAACAGTTCATGAACAGATTGTGATCCAACCAGGGTGTGGCTAGTGATGTTTTGTGATTGTTTTTAAGTGTATTTTACTTACTTAAAAATGTTACCCAGTTCCCCCCTTACCCCATGTAATGTTAGGGATGGGGCTGTAAGAAGTCATGTTTTTGCTAGTTAACCCGGTCTGTATTGTGCTGACAATATCAATATCAGTTATCAATATTCAATATCAGTTATAAAATAGATTAACACTTTTGTTTAGGACAGACAGTGCTTAAACGACTTAGAAGCATTGTATATTAATGAGAAGAAGCTCAATCTGTCCCTCTACTTTCATTTTCAAACTGCTCAGAATAGCCTGGAATCTGCACAAAAGCCTTCACCATAGAAAAATCTAAAAGGTAAGAAATATTTTAGGTATGTATAAGGTACTTCAAAGTCTGCCTGTGCTTAAATGACTTTGAGCTTCTTCTCATTAATATACAATGCTTCTAAGTCATTTAAGCACAGGCAGACTTTGAAGTACCTAAAACATACCTAAAATATTTCTTACCTTTTAGATTTTTCTATGGTGAAGGCTTTTGTGCAGATTCCAGGCTATTCTGAGCAGTTTGAAAATGAAAGTAGAGGGAAAGATTGAGCTTCTTCTCATTAATATACAATGCTTCTATCTTTCCCTCTACTTTCATTTTCAAACTGCTCAGAATAGCCTGGAATCTGCACAAAAGCCTTCACCATAGAAAAATCTAAAAGGTAAGAAATATTTTAGGTATGTATAAGGTACTTCAAAGTCTTCAATTTTTAAATAGTTTATGGTATTTCAATGTCTTATTCCTCCTAGGTGAGTTGAACTATAGTTTATATTTTCATATAACAGGGAGGAACACAGTAATGGAGATTTAAAAGTGATATTTCTATATGTAAACATAAGGTCTGATGCTCATTAAAAAATCATAATTTCATATGACAGGAAATAAAAATAAAATAAACGCACATCAATCATTTTTCTTCACTACGCGTATTTATACCTTCAGTAGCCTAGGAAACAAATAACCTAAACATTTCAACCAGAAGTGTAGCTCTGTCAGACAGTAAATTACATAAGCTTGGTGGTAAAATATTCTTATAAAATACACTGTTGTCTAGACAATTTTTATAATCGGAAGCGGTGGTGCACCGTATATTAAATTATTGTCTAGTTTTTCAGGACAAAACTAAATCTAATTCCACAATACATTTCAAAATTTACAATCAATCATCTTACAGCTGAGCTGAATTTGAAAAAAAATATTGTAATTTGAAATGTGTACGTCAATGTAGTAAGAAACTTCCGAAGGTGGCCAACCAATAGAAAGCAATCTTATCTCAAAAATAAATGTTATATCTATCATTATTTACATCCACATGTGCCCCTCTACTCATGTGCAGCTATTGCTAGGGAGCCATTCGTTCCATCTACACGGGCAATTACATTTGTAAGTGTATGCAACATTTTAAAACCAAAGTTGGGGACTACCTTGCATTGTCCATTATTAAGCCTGGTGCAAACTGCAATGTCACTAAGAGCTTTAATACTCAGCAAACACCTGGTGATTCTGTCCATCACAGATAAAACATTCCTGTTTCTAACTGACCATGCTAGGCATGGAAGTGGATCTGTCCTAGCGTTGTCAGTTATCATCCTTTCTTCCTACTTCAGAGCTAAATGTATGACGCAACGTGCCTGTAGCCAAATTACTTCTGCCAAGCCCCCCACCCAAACTGCTGTAGGCAAGGAATGTCAAGGGATGCCTATCATCTCGGTTCCCAACCTACAGCCAGAAGATGCTTCATGGGTCTCCATGGAGTAAAAGAGCTGCTGGTACCTGTGACATCAGTGGAAGCCACCAAGTGTTTTTGTAGTCAGTACTACTCCTTTGCTTCTGGGGGCCATCTGCAACATTTATGACCAGAGTGTATAGTCTAAGTCCTGGGGGAATCCAAGTAACGGTAGGCATATATTGCCCTATGGGAAAGGCAGCTGGTAAAGGTGAAGCAACTCGCCACTATACACTCTACATCGCTGGACGACATGCTTGACCTGTGGATTACATCGATGGAAGTTTTTTTTTTTTTAATAAAAGACTTTGTGTAAGGTGTTGTGTGTTTGTTTAAAATTTGAGTGTCTACTTGGTGAATGAGTAGGGGTAAAAGATTTCATATAAAGGTGTTTCTTGCAAATGAGGGTCATCAAACCCAGGGAGGGTCATCAAACCCATCAGGGACACTGATATTTAAAGATATGCCCGAGAGTCATCATCCCCCGAGACAGTCCAAACCCCCTGCTCGTATTTACTGCCCACAACTGTGTGTGTCTATTTGTAAATAAACCCAACACTATTTAGGATTCAGTTGTCTGTAACTAAATCAAGGCACCTAAAGCAAAGCACATTCTACAGGGACAAGGTGCTTTTCTAGGGGAAAAGCACCCTCCCAATGCTTGAGGGCATGTGGCCTGGTATGGTGCAAGGGGGTGCACGCTCATCTGTTTCCTGAGCTGCCAGGCTGCTGCTCAGGTCAAGGTTCTGCTAAAGGATTTTAGGGGCACCCCACGCATTTTGGGGTGGGGGGCGTTGGGGCCCCCCTACAATTCCTACTAGTTCTAAAGGGTCTGATATGAATTGGGAAGGGGAGTGCATGCTCTATTTATTTTAATGTTTAAAAACAAATCAATTCAAAAGGACATTTAGAAAAAAACTCGGATGCATTTAACATTTTCGTTATTGAAAAATTTGGATACATTTGGATCCGTTATTTTTTCATTTGAAAATTCGAATGCAACCAAATTACAACCAACCAATACACGCCGCCCAGGTTCCTGATTGGCCGGGAAGCCGGCTTGATGCTCCCTCATGAAGCCGGCTTTCTGGCCAATCAGAAAGCTGGGGGGCATGTCATGACTTGCCGTCCGTCTTCCGATTGGCCAGCTTCCTGACCAATCAGGAAGCTAGGTTACGAGTCATTACACGACGCTGGCTTCCTGATTGGCCAGGAAGCCGTTTCCATGCTCCCTCATCACCAAGTGACGAGGGAGCATGGAGCCGGCTTCCCAGCTGCCCGGCTTTCTGATACCGGAAGCTCAGGTAATGGGCTAGGCATCGAGGCATTTGGGCAAGTATGAGTACGAGTACTCGCTCAAATACTTAGCATCGGCACCGATAATGTTACTAGTATCGGTGCATCCATAGTTGACAAGGACACTAAGATGCTCTTCCATTATTGATTTATCCAATTTTACTTCCATAACAGAGAATATTTACTGTTATAACTGGTGTAAAAAGAATGAGAACCTTATTTAAAAAGAATATTAAGCAAAACAAAACACTTGTGCTAGAGGGCTATAATGGGAGCAGATGGCTCGTCGGTGCCATCTAGGGGCACTAGTTCTGTGTGAATTTCATCCACCTAGCTGTATGCTGGGCAAAACTTTTATAATGGAACCCCATTGGGCTGCAGCCCATATAACTACCATAAACATTGTGTAATTCAAATAATGACAATTTGCATGAAATCAATTATGTGTATACTTTATTCTCTAGATACTGAGATTGAATGTATTTGCTGAAATGTTTTTAAATGAGTGCTAAGCATAAGGTTCTTTTACATGCTTGGTCCTAGTTTTGACATACGAAAAACAGAACCTCTGGCATCCTATTAGACATATAGAGGAGAATTTATCAAAACTGGAGCAGACAGAACCTAGAGCAATTGCCCAGGGCAACCAATAAGCTTCTCTCTTCAGTTTGTTCAGTTAAGCTTTGAAAATGAAAGAGAGAAGCTGATTGGTTGCCATACACAGCTGCTCCAGATTCTGTCTGCTTCGGTTTTGATAAATTCCCTTCATAGTACCCGAGTAAGTATCTCATAGAAAAAAATCCTACAGTTGTAAACCCAAGGATAATGCTAGGGATTCCATTACAGATAGATTTGATTTATTGCATATTTGATTTATATGCAGTTACAGAAACTTATACTAAAATCCGACTTAAATCACCACAATAATCCTTTGTAGGGATGTTCAGATACCAGTGCCGATACTTGGCATTTTCATGAGAACAACCAGGGTTGCAGTGGTTGCAGCTGGGACATGGCTCTGGCGCTCCACCACTGTCCCGAAATAATTAGTCTGTATTGTTTTTGAAAATGTCAATAAACAAAAATGTATCAGTAGTTGTACTTGCAAAAATGGTATTGGTGCATCCCTAATATATATATTAATAAAAATTTTAAAAATCACACATTAAAACAGAGATGTACAAATCCCACGAGTTCCGTATGAATTTTGACTAGTCTAGTCTTGGAGCTGGAAAAGTATCTTGGTATCTGAACATCTCTAATCCTGGGGAAAAAAAGTTGGGCCTAGAAAAGATAGGTAAAAATGTGATTATTCTTTTGAGTTGCACTTTCAAAAAGTAATTATGGGGGCTGCCATTGCAGGCCTTCTGAAGAAAATGATAGTTGTCTAGTTGTCCAAAGCTAAAACTGTCTTTCCTTTTGGCTAGTGTAGAGAATGACTAAAACTTCTGTCAGACTTTCAATGTTTGGGTATTGACTTTGTTTGTTACACTTTGCCAAATTCCAAATTAGCCTTCAGGCTTTAAATAAGAACTTCACACAGATTTAAACGCCATTAATAAATGCTGCTCTGTATTCAGCTAAAAGCTCCTATATGTCAGCCTAGAAACATCCCAAATCCAATAACTATGTGGCTCACAAGCCTCTAACAAGCTACCGGCTTGTTAATGAATAGTGACAATGCTGACAGCCATGCCCTCTGTAACATCTTCCCTTCCCCCTGAAGTACAACAGGCACATCCTACATGAGTGACAACTCTTTTCTAAATTTAGGAACAGTGCAGCATTGTTGCCACCCCATCACAGGAAGATGCATTATGGAGACTTCACTGGCAGTTTCATCAGGTATTTGTAGGATTTTGCAGGAGGACCAAGATAAAACTGTAAGTGCAGATGCACTAGATATACCGGCTGTAGCACATATTTTTTCAATGGGAGGTCATAGTTCTACTGTAGGCGCATAGAAGCCTTTTGAGTTGGGGTCCAGCCTTAAGGTAGCCTGGCAACCTCTCCCTGCCACTCACTGGTGTTGCTGCATGGGGATATAAGAAAAGGTGGGTGGAGACCTGTAGCTATTGGCAGGCAGTAGGTAAGAAGAGGAGGTCCAATCACAGGCTGGGAGAGGCCCAAGACCTGTACGTGTTACTGAACAGCAGAAAATAAAAGTAGGTCTTCTGCTCTGTCAGACAGGGCCATGTTGTGTGGCAGAGCTTCCTAAATTCCAGAGATGGAGGGACAGAAAAAAAAATATCCAGGCTGGTCAAACAGCTTCTTTACATACAGTATATATTGTATTTATGTATTTAATCATTTGACTTTAGTTCAGCTTTAAATAAGTTTCTAAGCTAATAAGCTTATAGTAAGAATATTCACATCAGATGTATCTGCATTTCCAAAAGTCAGAGTTTATTTAGAGATATATATTGTGAAAAAAAAGAGAATAAATACAATAAAGTTCGACAACACAGTCCAAGAGCCAACATCATTTGTGACGCACATACTTGACTCAACAGTCAACAGGCATCAGTAATCACATACATTGTAATGGTTTTCGGGATATTAGGTTACATTATAGCTTCTTAATGTCAGGGGTATTTCAACCTTAAGGCCGGATGAAAAATTCATCATAGGGGGCACCTTTCCAGGGAAGGCAGACATGAGGTTCACACCACACTTCCTGGTGCACAATGACCTCCTGTCTCCATTCCACTCCATGTCCGCTCCTATCAATCCTGAATTACCTCCAGCACTGTCCATGTAAGGACTGGAGGAGTCAGCAATGATAGGAGCTTGGGGTGGCATTTCCTTGCTGCTACAAGTAGCAGCAAAGATAATGAGTCCTAGTTACTACTGCTGCAATTTTCTGCTGCTTTAATAATTACCATCTTGACAATTTGTGCATGCTAACATACAGCTGAAACTGTATTACAATGGTCACATGGCTAAAAAATAATAATTGTTATGGCAAATATCACATGGATTGTGGGCAGAGCTCCGCCAATGTGACAGGAACCCACATGTGATTCACAACAGGGTCTACAAAATCAGTTATCAACTGGAATCATGCCAAAAATGTTCAGAACTTCACCAATGTGACAGGATCCCACGCTTGATCCAGAACAGGGTCTACAAATTCAGTTATTAACTGGAATCATGCCAAAAAGGGTCAGAGCTCCACCAATGTGACAGGTCTCCCCATGGGATCCAGGACAGGGTCTTCAAATCTACATATCAATTGAAAGCTTTTTGGCGGAATCCCAATAATTGTTTTTATATTTAGAGTGAGCACATATCTTTTTGCATAAAACTGTGAATGGCTTCCCCCAATTGTAGTATAAGCCCCACACAGACCTCAGATGCAGTGCAGCTCGACTCTTGCATAGCTAGACAGCTTTCCCATTCATCTCCAATAGAGGTGCTTAGATGAAGGATGTAAACATTGCCTGGAGGGACAATGGAGAGCAGGTCTACACTGTTTGTGTGGGCCTTTTAAGGAAGGTGGAAGCTCATACAAGTTTAAATAGCAGTACACCTGTTATTTAACTAGAAGTGTTTACAAGTGAATACTGTTTGTCCATGGAAAGACTCACATTGTGATATTAAAACTATGTCTAGAATCAGCAGAATATATTCCTAGGAAGAGATGAGTTATTGCTAAATGTTTAGGTCCCCTATAACCATTGTATGAATCACTTTCTACATGCCTCCATTGAATAATAATGTAAAGGAAACAAGACAGATATTACATATAGGAAATGAGCATTTTCCTTTTTTCAGTTTTTGCATCTTCTAAGGTCTTCATGTACATGTTAACATTTGGATTCATGGTGATGCTCAGTGGTGTGATTAGCCACTGTGTGGTGAGAACCTGAAAATGATGAAAATATAGAGATGATTTAGAGCCACACATTAAAAAATGTTAATATCATCATGAATTATAAAATTTTCTTTAGCTATTTTGTTTGCTTGAGCATAGAACTGCTTCTATTACTTTGCACTAGTTTTGTCTATGAGTAGCATTTGATAAGTGGAAGCTGAAGTATGATCATCTTCCTCTGTCACCCTCCACCCTGTAATTTAATGTAGAATGCAAGGCAATACTTTTTTTAGTTTGGGCTAGAATAGCGAAGGGCTGGAACTGCTGTCAGGTTTTTAGTGCTGTATGTGTCACCAATGGGGAGATGTTTTCTTTCCATTTGTCCTGATAACCAATGTCAATGGGACAGAACATGAGAGGAAATCTCAAAATATATTATAACTTAGCTTTGGCTGGGTCTCCAATTCATAGGGTCACTCCTTTCTCACCATATCTGCACTTGATAAAATTTGACATGGCAGTTTGTAATTGGCCATATCTTTATAAGAAGTGACAGCTGCAACCTGAGTGCTTTATCTGTGTTTGGTTCCTCCTAAAAGTGGTTAGAGACTCTATTGGGTCTTTTTAAATAAATGGCAAACAGGTACAATGTGTCAGGCGTACAAGGAAAGGGTACATGACAATATAAAATAATGGGAGTTTGTATTTAATAATTGTATAAGAGCCCCAAAATGTTACAGAAAAGTATTTCTCCGTTTTCTCTGTTTAAAGATAAGAATCTGTTTTCAACTTTAAAACACAGAAAGGTGATAAAACCGCAATTAGAGGTCAGCTATCAAGTGAGTTTCATTTGTCAAAGACAATGAGAAATAATAATCTCAATAAATCTAATAAGGATTAGTCTGTGTTTTGGGTATAGTATGGGTTGTCCTCTCTAATAGTTTTCCGAAACCATGCATTCTCTGACATTATGATCAGCGGTGTCGTAAGGATTTATTTTGCAGGGGATGCAAGAAGACAAGGTGGGATCATGGAAATGTAAGTGAGGAAAATAGAGAAAAGGTAAGGGTGAGTATGGGTCAGGTAAGGGAGTATAGGATATCAGAGTCAGGATTAGGTATTTGGGACTGGGAAAAGGACATAGAGAGAAAGTAAAGAAAAAATATATAGATACATATAGATGGGGGGGATCGATCGCCTGATCACCACAATCCAAGGCATGATCATGTACGGCTCAGGTAATGTTTTATTTTAATCCATTCAACCAACACACCTAAATCAATGGTATCATCTTAGTCATTCTAAAAAAAAAAAAAAATTGGCTTCTAAAAATTTAATTTGTGGTGGTAGATAGCTTTGATGCAGTGAAATTATTTTTGCTTTAAACCAACTTTGGGCAGTTTTAGGAGCATGTGTTAATCCCAGGCACATGAGCATATGCGCTACAATGTCTGTTCTGTCACTGGTTGCGCTGGTGGTACTACCTGCTGTTATAACTGTATGTATAGAGAAGATGTAAAATGTTTTCCTTTTTAAGACTACTCTCATAAGATCTGCACTTAAAGCTAAAAGTTAACAATCTGATCCTATGAGAGATTCTCTGCATGCCTTTAGTACTAGGTGGTAGCAGGGTTTTTTTAAGCAAAAATCACCACCAATTTTGTACCATAGATATATCAGCTTACCATGTTTTCCGCTTGACATGCCATAGTCTGAGACGCTACAAAACAAAAAAGAAAATCAGTTAACTGTTTTAAAAAAACATGTAAGTTACAATGGTATTATTTCAATATTTAACCAAAGTGTTGCTAATTCAGTGTGAAGCATTGATGGATAAATGGATGTAATAGTATTGGTAAAATTGTCATATTTTGAAGATACTGTATGTATGAAAATTTGGGTTTGAAATAACCAATGATTATATACCTAGGCATTTTATAAACTTTGGATGAGCTTATTTTTTCCAAGCCATCTGCTCTACTCTTCACACATAAAGATGAGCGTCATGCTTTATTGTATACTGCCACAGTACAAAATAAAATATATGATCATATCTCATTTCCCACATTCTATTACTTTTGATTAGGCAACCTTTAAATTTTACATTATGTATTTCCATTTATAAAGAGTATAAATGGAAATGCATAACTGGATTGATTATTGGTTGAACATGATGGTCTTTTTTCAACCTGACTAACTATGTAACTATGAATGTCCGAAAAGCTCATTTGAGTTTCAATTGTGTAAACAGGAATATATTTATGAAGCAAATTTAGCATAGGTTGGCTTTTTTTTAGTAAGTATAAGTCCATTATGTATGTGTTCAAATAACATATATTGTATATGACACACAAGAAGAAACAAATCTGCAGTATTTGTGGCAGGTAGGTACAGGTCTGTAGTGTTACCTAAAACTGGAACGGTCCAAGCTATTGCATCCCTTTTTGAACTTTTGAGAAGACCTAGGGTCTTCGTTATATTTTCCCAATGTTTTCCAAAGATTCTATTTCCCTATTCACTGGTTGTTCCCCGTGATTGTGTTATCATTCGAAGCTTCCACATGCAGAGGATCAACATGGTGGTGGGTACTCCAATCTGTATAAGCAATAATGTGAGATCCAACTAAACAAAATTGGCATGAACTTACTGGATGTTATGTCCGTCCAGAAGGCGTTTATAAGTAGCAATTTCCATCTCCAGGTGAGTCTTTTGGTCCATGAGGATCTTATATTCATAGTTCTGACGTTCCAGATCAGATCTGATTTGGGTCAGCTGGCACTCAACATTATTGATCATAGCTTGTAACTGAGCGATTTGAGAATTGTAGGTAGCTTGTGTCTCTGCCAAGGTGCTTTCCAGGGCTGTAGTCTATTACATAATTCATAACATTAAAATCAGACTTAAGGAACATTTGATAAATATTGACTTTATGATCTTACCATGCTCATCTGGCTCTGTAGTTCGATTTCAAGGGTCTGTATGGTGCGATTAAGCTCAATCACCTCTGTTTGCACAGACTGAAGTTGCTCAGAACCAGACGTTACTTGACGGTTTAATTCTTCACTCTAAAAGCAAAAAAATAAGCAGAATTAACAGATTGTCTAGACAACTAGTGCAACGGGCTATCTTTACCTTACAACCTTACCTGTGTAATTCCCTCCACCCCCTGCCTTGTACATGTCCCCCATATGTGTGTGGGCTGTCAAGCATATTTAATCTTTTAGTTTAACAGGTTTTGAGAAGGGTGGTGGTGTCACGATTGAGAATGTTTACTATGTTTTCATCCATCAGAAGCAAACTTGTCACTGTGATTAACTACATTATTTATAGGTTGCTTAGATCTTAGATCACTCACCACAGATTTTGCACTTGATAACTATGCTTATTACACAGTTATGCGGGGACCCATCATAAACATATCCACGACCAACTTTGGATCCCCACCCATAGTTTAAGAAACACTGGACTGGAGGCTCAAAAATCAGAACACAAATAAGAAGAGTAGATCTTCTACTTTAACCATGGAATCAATTTATTTGAAATGTTCCATAAGTTCCATAATCCATCTCATACAATTTATTCCCACACAGCTACCCCCTCATGTATCACTTGCCCCTCCCATTTAAAGTGTAAGCCCTCATGGGCAGGGCCCTCCTTACCATCCTGTCTTGAATTGTATTTTGATTGTAATGTCTTCCTTTTATTGTAAAGTGCTGCGCAAACTGTTGGCGCTATATAAATCTTATATAATAATAAAAAGTGTGAATTCAATTTGCATTATATAATATTATCAAAAATATATTGGATTTCTTTAATTTTTTTCTGCTATTGTCAGGAGAGCTTGGAAGACATATGAACTGTCTTATATATTGTTGTGATATACAATACTGTACATACCGAGAGTTATACCTATACGGATTAAATCACATAGTTCAATGTATAGAAACATCTTAAAAATTGATTTTGAAGAGGATGGTGATTATTTTGCCATATACCTGGAATTATAATATTTTGTGTTTGCATGGCTTATAACATTTTTAGCAATATGATTTTGAAGATCGGGGAGCTAAGCTACTGGAATAATCAACAGCCATTGTATAGCCACAAATTTAAACTATATATATATATATATATATATATATATATATATATACACAATACATTACCCTTTGCCTGAACATATCCTCTACATCGCTTAGGTTTCTTTCCATCAGGTTTTCATATTCGTCACGAATTTCAGTCAAAGCTCTATTAAGGTCAATGGATGGGGCAGCATTGAGTTCTACATTAACTCTGGCTCCCAGCTGAGCACGGAGACAATTTGCTTCCTAAAGGAAAAAGAATGGATGTGTTACAATGGATAAATATGGTAGATGTAATCTGAAGATGTATTTCTCCATGGTCTCTCAGTGTGGTAACACAGAGGCAAAGCTACAATTCTTCGTGATTATCTGTAGCATCCCTTTGCGATGGAAATCTTGTATTCCAATAAAACCATAAATTGTAGTGGCTATGTATGGAAGCCACTTTATTTAAAGTGGAACTGGATCCACTAGGTGTGCCCACAGCCCTTGCCATAGTGTCCAGGTTTATACAGCATACTTGTACTTTATGGAAGACTTTCAGTGTTCTTTGCTTTAGTGATGCAAGATCATTGCTTCCCTTTTGGTTCTGCCATCTTTTCTACCATTCCTCAGCCATTGATTTGCTACAGATGACATAATTCCTCCACATGTACACAGAGGTTACATCATCCCAGCAGTTGGCTCTTACTCCTAGGCATCTGTACAATGGACCGTACCTGCATGACGGTCAGTGTATAATTAAACTGATCAGGAAAAAAAAAAAATCTTAGTTTTAAATAGAGAGGAGAAGGATTAGGAACCAAAATCAGCTGTTTACTGCTATCCAGGGCTCCGTTAGAGAGATTTTCCCTCATTTCCCATCTTTAGTAGAATATTGAAAGGCTAGAATCCCTGTCAGATTTGTATTTCTGTCTGTGTCCCTGTTCCAGTGTTTTCCTTACTTTCTGCCTTGTGAAGCCATTGTCAACATGACAATAGCTTAGCATACACAGTTCCAACTTTGAGCTGAGGGTTGCCCTGCCAACACCACCTGCCTTGATAAACTTTGATTATAAAATTGAAGAATCCAGTTGAAAAGAAGTTGGTGACTTCAACCAATCAGCTGCACCCACTGGTCAGGTGTTCTGACAGCTGTGGGTGCCGGCTGTCACAGTACAATAGCTGGCTGGAGAGATTTGTCCATCCCACTAGGCTGAACAAATCTTTATGTATATGGCAAATGTAAGTCAGGCTAAATCCTTCTAACAGAGCACCCAATATCAGTGAAAACCCTCTGGCTTGACATAAATTAATAAATATGTATAGAAGAAAGGGTTTTTATGGCAAAAGAGACATACAGATTATCTTCTGCCATAAAACTCTACCTGATCACTTTTTATTCTACTTTAAATGTAGTTCCATTTCAACTAATAGAATGCTTGCCATCTAAGTAATGGTGACAACAGCAGGCAGGGATTGTGTTACTACATGCAGCAGCCCCAATTATTTAGATTTCTACTTTGCTAGTAATAAACACTACCTCCTCATGATTCCTCTTCATTTCCTGCAGTTCTTCCTGGAGGTTCTGAACTTGCATTTCCAGGTCACAGTTGTCACGGTTGAGTCCTTCTAAGACTCTGCGCAGAGCATTGATGTCAGCTTCGGTGTTATTGCTGATACTCAGTTCCATCTCATACCTTGACAAAGGGAAGAAGAAAAATTTACTAAGACTGATAGAATAGTTTCCACAGTCTAAAACAGAGGTGTATGCACTGATTTATGTCATATGTCACATATGCTTTGGGCTGTATTGGGAAGCCTTGCCCAACGCATAGACAAGGTAAATTGCCCTGAATCCTGTTCAGTTTAAGCTGAAAAAGAGTAGCAAATGCAGTATTCTTTCATCCTAGGATGTTGTGAATCACTATACCCTTGTGGCAATGTGCTACAGTGAATACATATGAAATGCATGTAATTTTATGACATTGCAATATAGTTGGAAAAAAATAAGCATTTTCAATGCATCAGCATTGTTTATGGCCATGGCATGAATCCAGACGCTCGTGTGAACAAGCCCTAAAGATTTACAGGGTTATTCACAAAAGGGTGAAGAGTTTGGAGAAGGCAGGAGAAGTGAATAATCTATGCCAAAATAGAGGATTTGGAAAAATTCTCCAATTCAGCTCCCTTTCCAGTTCAGCTATGTTGTACTAGATTGTTCACTTCTCCTGCCTTCTCCAAACTCTTCACCCTTTGGTGAATAGTCCTGTTAGAGAGCCTTCAAGCAAGAGCAAATGTTCCTTTACAAAGCAACAATGAGGTTGATTTAATAAAGGATTTGAGAATGTCCACACAAACAAATGTGTGAAGATTCACTGCAATGATTCAATTAAGTAAAAAGAAAATCCCTGTTTATTTATTGTGAGAACATTCTCAAATCCTTTAGTAAATCAGCCTTATCATCTCAGCAGTGGGTGTGAATTTCCCTTTGGCAGTTGTTTCCATTGTACAATGCCCAGGGTCCTCTAGGTAAAGCAAAATGTACCCATTGCCCTCTGGAGATCTGCTTTCAGCTGTGCCCCCTGTTTACTGAAATATCCATCATGCCTGTAATTCTTAGTTTGTATTTTGTACATGCAATCAAATAATATAATAATAGAAAGGTTTTCAAAGCTTCTAATGACTTAGCCATTATGATCTCTAACTCTAATGTATTCGCAATTTTACTCAGTTCAGAAACATTTATAGGCTACCACAAAAACTAGAAAAAAGTTGACTGGACAAACACTGCAATAGAACTGCTAAAATGCATATCAACTGTCCTCATAGATGTGGACTATGAATACAGTTGATATGCATTTTAGCAGTTCTATTGCAGTGTTTGTCCAGTCAACTTTTTTCTAGTTTTTGTGGTAGCCTATAAATGTTTCTGATATACAGTACATTTAACCAGCTATGACCTACGGAAAGAAGAGAAGTGGTCAACACAGGTTATGCTTTATCTCAGTTCTTCTACATGTGTATAACCACTATACATGGAACGCTTTACATTGTAAGTATTTTCATTGTTTATAAAAACATTTGTATAATTTGTGAAATTATATTTCCCCAGCCTTAATCATAATCAACATTTCCTTTACACAATGAACATCTCTCATCATAAGCTACTGGCCTACTAATTAAGATGTTTTAAATGAACAGTTGGATATATACTACAATTAAAGTATTACTTTTCACGGAAGTCATCAGCGGTAAGTCTGGCATTGTCAATCTGCAGGACTATTCTGGCATTCTCCATAGTAGCAGCGGCAATCTGGAAGATACATTAAGGAGAGTCTTACGTTAGAGAAAGTATGGATTTCCTTCCTCTGAGGAAGGAATTGTAAACCTATCTGTGGTAGGAGTTTCCTGAATATTATTGCTCACACACTGCAATTTGTAAATAATGATATAAAGCCAACTGTGGTACAACCAATATGAGATAAGGGCTACAATGGTGGTAATTGGGCAAAATTCTAAAATATTTATCAAAATTCATGTATATTTTCAATGTATTTGAAATACATAGTAAGGCTTTCATAAGACACAAGCTATCTGCATGTCTACCTTGCATCACAGATCCTAAAAAATACAATGGTTTTTAGTTTTCATTTTGAAAAATTAGGTGGAGCCATGGTAACCATTACTTAATGCCTGTGGCCAGCTATGCATCCACAAGCAGCACTTTACAGCACGGATACAGCCTAATATTATATAGCCTTAGCTCTACTCGCTGCCCTACTTTTTGCTACTACATTTTTTTTCAGTCTGCCTAACAGTGTCAACCATATTAGGGCCATAATATGGTATAGTTCTCCTCACCGTTCTCAACATTTCTAATGCAGAATAAACAAATAACTAGGCAGTCCCGTTCTAAGAGACAGACAACGTAATCATGTTTCTTGATAGAAAATAAAAACTACTTTGGAGTCTTCAAAGAGTAACAAGTGTGTTGGTAATTTAAATTCATCAAAGCCTATTCAAACCACTGTCTTGTAAATAAAGTGTCATAAAGAAAAATTCAAAAAGGGGAGCTGTCTGAACACGTTTGTGTGTGTGTATAGGCAATGGGATTCAAAAGGTTTGGTTTTTTTAAGTAGAAGACATTTAAAATCATTTTTAGCAGATACTGAGGGAAATTTTTCCTTAACTTACCTAAATTCCCCTAAGACAACATCACTTCCATATATAAATAAGCAAACTAAAGTCTACTTTATTTATCCTTTTAGAATAATCTGGGGTTCTATTTCCCTATAATGTATTACGGTTTAAAATGTCTGTGAATAAAAGAAAAAAGGTTACAAAACTCAATCAATCAGTCTTGGAGTTTACCTGACTCTGGAGGTCTGATATTATCCTGAAGTATTGGCTGGAGTCAGGCAGGGAACTGGGAGCATTGTTTGCATACCATTCACTGATGTTTCTTTCCAGCTGGGCATTCTCCTGTTCTAGAGCACTAACTTTGTCGAGATAGGAAGACAAACGGTCATTCAACATCTGCATGGTTTGTTTTTCATTGATGCCCAGCAGACCATCATTCTTCCAACTGCTGTGGCTACTAAAGTGTGAACCATGACCATGGCCTCCTTGATGACTCATAGAAGAATGCTTGGAGAATGAAACTGACTTGGAACTTGATCCACCGTGGGCTCCCCCAGATTTGTGATGACCTCCACAATGGACGTCATGAGAACCTCCATGGTGGGAATTGTGACTTTCTCCATGATTCTTGAAGCCACCTCCATGATGGGACATGTGAGAGCTTCCGTGATGCATCTTGGTAGGGCTTCCATGATGAGACATGTGAGAGGAACTAAGATGAGATTTATGATGGGAAGGTTGTGATCCCCCATGGAAACTTAAATGAGGACCTCCTCCATAATGTGTCAGGTGGGAGCTTCCATGATGGGACAAATGAGAATTTCCATGACTAGTCAGATTTGATCCACCATGGTGGGAGAAGTGGGATCCTCCTGCAAGATGGGATGAATGGGATCCTCCAAGATGAGAGAGATGGGAACTTCCATGATGAGAGCTTCCATGATGAGAGAGATGGGAGCCTCCATGATGAGAGAGATGGGAGCCTCCATGGTGAGAGAGATGGGAGCCTCCATGGTGAGAGAGATGGGAGCCTCCATGAGAGGCATGGGCCCCTCCATGATGATGGGACATATGTGCTCCACTGCGATGAGAAAGGTTGAGTGTTCCTAGATTAGATCCATGATGACCTGCTGACAAATGGCTGAACTTTTTGGTAGAATGACCACCTGTGTGACCACCTTTAAGGTTTCCAAAAGAAGAGCAACCGTGCTTAATGTTAGGTCTCATGGTGATGATTGAGAGTGATATAGATGGAAATACGACTTACTAGATCTCCGTCTATGAATAAAGTATCAGGCTTTCTGCTTTGTCTATTTATAGTTAGAATAGGAGGCGTTATAGAAATATGTGCAACGTTTATGCGCTTCTGCTGTCTCGTGTTTCTTTAGCTTTATTGATAATTAATTCCTGGGCTGAACAGCTGGAGATTGTTTGTTACAGTTTGTTTGTAAACGTGTGCTATAGAAAGGTGGGGGGATTGTATATTTCTTATGATGCTTTACATGAGACATTTCCACACCCTCGCAAATTGTATAAACTCGTAGATGAAAGTGCTATTACGCCTTGACTTGCGGTAACATCTAAGAAATAAGGATACAGGTAATGTTTTACACTGCTTTTTATGAACAGTGAGTAAACCAATACCTTACTGACTAAGTGAATTTAGTACAGGATGAACTATATATTTATAATATAAATGCAATATATATCTGGTGTCCTTCGACAGCTCTTTGGTCTTCACCATAATGGAGTTTGGAGTGTGACTGTTTGAGGTTGTGGACAGGTTTCTTTTATACTGATAACAAGTTCAAACAGGTGCCATTGATACGGGTAATGAGTGCAGGACAGAGGAGCCTCTGAAAGAAGAAGGTACAGGTCTGTGAGAGCCAGAACTCTTGCTTGTTTGTAGGTTGTGTGTATGTATATATATTAGAAAAAAAAGACGTATGTCTATCACTTTTATCCAATAGAAAAACTTGAATTTATTAAAAATCTGAATCCTCAGAAACCTAAACCCGCACTTGATCCAGAGGCAAAAAACCCCAATAAATCTCTACCAGATTTGCAGTGAGATTTGGTGATATCTCCATTATATTCTCACTGTTACCCTTGCTGAAGGCTCTGACATAAGAAGCAAAATCCTGGCTCTACTAAAATAGCCACCTCCACACATTATGTAAGTCAGTAACAGGGAAAAGATCAGTTACAGGAAGATCACAGGCAATACTGGTGTACAATTACATATTCTTGCCTTTCTGACCAGGGCAGGTGAATGAAACCAAAAATGTTTTACCCTTCTCTAGCTAGCAGATCAGATTTGTTTAAGGCACTGGAAGCTTCACTCTAAATGGGCCCTCCTGGCCCCGATCTCCATAGCCAACTAATGAGCTGCTATGGTGGTAATTACTCCACGACATCTACAGTTAATTAGTTCTAAATGTGACCTTTCATAAATATTGTGTATGGGGCTTTTCAGGTGCTAAAAAGATAAAGTTCTATTCAACATATCTTTTTCTCAAAATATATATTTTATTACTCCAAAAACATAATATAATCAGCAAATCACAAGTAAATACTGCAGTTATACTAAGAGGCATGGATACATCAATTCACTATACCTGGTGACTTATCTAGGAGTGTACAGAAACAGGAACCATACCGCAGTCCTTATCGGGATTCCCACTTGCTGAAGATGGGTGCTCGAAATGACTATGGATGGCACCGCCACACATGAATAGAAAAATGTTACCAGCACACCAGAAGTTGAAAAAGCAAAATATTTTATTGCCAATAGCTGTATCTCATTGGCAAGCGCTTTCGGGGCCTCTAAGCCTAATGAAGGGGACCCTGCGAGGCCCCGAAAGCGCTTGCCAATGAGATTCAGCTATTGGCAATAAAATATTTTGCTTTTTCAACTCATGGTGTGCTGGTGACATTTTTCTATTATCTAGGAATGTGACCCAGATGGTACCGCAAATTACATAACGAAATATACATGAAAGTGCCACATAGGGTACCTTTCCACTTCATCAATATGTCTTCAATTATATGTAAATATAAATAGCCATCTGACTGGTATATTCGTTTGTTCAGACATCAAATTGATAGGAAAGGGTCACCCATACAATTCTCGATGCGTTTTGTAGTCTTGAATAACTGCTTCTTCAGGAAAGGCAGTAAATGTGTCTGTAATATGACTTGATCAGTGTTGCGTCTGAAAAGTCACAAATACAAAATCTATTATAGTTCAGGTTTAAAAAGCTATGTGGTGCATAGGTATGTTGGCTTGGACCAAATATATATTAGTTCTAAAGCTGGTCATACAACAATACAATTTTGTTCAAAAAAAATAGTTTTTGGACCGTTTGTTTGATTTTCTAATGGGGTCAAATGAAGGTTTGATTTAGACCAGGGGGGGCAATTCATTTTCTCAAGGGGCCACATGAAAAACTGGGACTGTTGGAGGGCCGAACCAATAGGCTGAAGTTAATTCTGGTCAATATTTATTTTATCGCTTTTTTAAAATGCAGTAAACTATGGTGTTGATGATGTCCCCTTTAGAGGTGCCCCTTCATATTGCTGTCCCCACATGCCTTAGTTTACTACTTTATTATTAACCAATGACTGCAGAGGAGTTGGAGACCTGATGTCATCAACTACAGAGTAGGGAGCCTGCACGTGGATATACTGGCCTCGGAGGCTGGCACATCCATTTTTAGCCAGCCAATTGGACAGGGACAGCCAAAGGGCCAGATGTGGCCCGCAGGCCGTAACATTCCCAGGACTGATTTAGACAATAGTGATGAAAAAAAAAATTGAAGGAGCAGAATAAAAAACAAATTCTCAAACCAATGAAATTCTAACAGTGAATGTAGTTTTCATTGTAGAGACTCCTATTCATTCCAAAATCAATGTTAAAATCAAACTACATTTTTAACAACATTCATCAAGTCCCTAATGGCAGTACTGAATATTCGGATGATATTTTTTTGTACGAGCATTCGCATGCTAACCTACCAGTGTATGGCCAGCTTTAGAGTCCACCACGTTTTCTGTATAACACTACCTGGCATTAGGTAACATTAATGTTGCCAGAAATTACATCCCCATCTATATTTGTAGTATCAAAGTATAGAGAGGAGTCAGTACCACAAGAAATGTTATAACTTCACTGATGATCAGTACAACAGAGGAGACAGATGTCCACCATTAGAACTTCAATAGACAGCATGAATCTGGAGATGGAAGGATCTCACATCTTTAAGGTTCTTGGGCACATGAGTGGACATCTGTAGACCTTTTGACTACAAACCATAGCAAGGGACAAGGGATTTATACACACTGGGCTCTTTTTTGCGGGCAATAGAAATTTTACAAGTCCAAATGTGACTGTAATAAAAGAACTATGACTACAGCAAAGAAAAGTTCTCATATTCCATGTATTTTACTTATTCAGCGAGTTCAGGTAGTGGTATATATACCCATATGCTGCACTGGCATCTTAAGGGGGTACTTCCGCTTAGTTAAATAGCATCACCATATTATTATTATTAGTACTATTATTCAGAATTTATACCTGAACAAAAGTTTGTGCAGTACTTTACAATATAGGAAAGATATTACTTTTACATTGCAATTCAAGAAAAGATAAATTAGGAGGACCCCACCAGTGGGTGCTTACAATCTAAAATTAGTAGTAGAGTTTAAAAATTAGTAGAACATTTGAATACTGATATAAAACCAAGTATTTAAAAAATTATTTATAAATATAAGTGGTTTTTCAGAAAACCTTTATTCACATGTTAGAAGCAATGGTAATAAAAGTGTCAAGTTGTACTTGAGATAGAATACTCACACAAGGCGTACTGAATATAAGGATACTTACATCAGGATTATTTGTTAACTATTTACTTGTGTAAGGAAAAAGGTACACGCTTTAAATAATTTTAAGAAATTCCAAAAACAGGACCATGATACCACATTAGTAGTAGACTAAGCAGGGAGGACTGTTAGGAGGTACTATAAAGCTGGCCATACACTTGATGAACTTCCCTCAGTAGACTGCCCTGTCTACCCCCTCTTGCTCAATATCCTTAAATTAAAAAAAGGGAAGCAGACAGGCAGAAAATTGTAGGACAAACAGTATCTGCATCCAATTTGATGTAGGCACCGGTTGTGTATTTTGACAGCCAGTAAGGCTGACTATCAAAATACAATAGCTCCATCCATGCTAAACAGTGTGCATAGAATATTATATCCCACAGGCTGAATGAAAAAAAATCTATTGGTACTGTATATGGCCAACCTAATCCAAGTACCCCAGATATATAGTACTGTGAAAATGTTTTAGCCACTTAAATTAAAAAAAATGCTGTAAAGTGATTATGCTTTCAAAAATAAGGGGTACTGTAATATGAGAATGCTTTAAAAAAAATATGGCAAGTTTTTATTTTTCAATTAAAAACCTATAAAGTTAAACAGAAAAATTATTAAATTAAATCAGTAGTTGGTGTGCCCCCTTGGCCTTGTAAACAGCAGATGTTTTCCTAAGAACACTTAACACTTGCAAACATGTAGGAGAACCAAAAATCTAGGGGAACCAAACATGAGGGGGAACTAACCACAGTTCTTTTGTGGTCTTAGTTGTTACTGTCTCTTCTTGTAACCCCAGACTGATTCAGTGGCTTTTTTTCTATGTATGTACCTTGTAGGTTGATAAATGAAATATTAAATTTTTTTTTTTTTTAAATCATCGTTAATACTACAGTATTTTTTCACATGTGCCTAAAATGTTTGCACAACACTGTATATATCTTCTTCCACAGGGATAGTAGACTGTTTCTGTATCAGGGCATATAGGTAATATGCAACACGACTTATGTTCTTTGTACCTTGAATTGCTTTAACTATTCTCATCTTTAACATCTATGCTTTTGAACACACTCTGTCCACTGTATTTGCATCCTTTATGATGCCAATATAAACATGAATATTAGAGATTGTGTTGAAATAAAAATCTTTGAAACGCAGATATCAGTAATACCCATTTTCCCCCAGACTGTCTGTGTTGTGGGGGGGTATAGCTCAAATGGGGATCACCTTCCCTGGGAAAAAAGGTAGTCCAGGCAGCAAAGTTCTTTTTCAATCTGACTAGCAGTCAGTTTTATTTAAAAGGTTGCCATAAAACAAAAATAAACCAGAAAAGAAATCCTTGCCATCCAGGCTCTGACTAAACAGGCAGGTTCCTCTCTACCAGGTGGTGAGCTTATCTCAGCCACCTTGCAAAACAAACATACTTTTTCGCAACCTTTTACTCACACACATCCGCCGTGTAGCTCTCTCAGAAGGATGTCTGAGTCCCAGGCCTGAGCATCATGCTTCAGCCTTCCCCTTTTATCTCACTTGGATAATCAACCATTAGGCAATTAACTATCCAGGTGAGAGACACAAAACCCGAGCTGGATTATTCAGACCCAAAGTCAACCCGAAAACCCGGTCTGGGTTCCGCTAGTCCTATACAAAGGACAGAAAGCGAGGGGAAATATATCGCCCCTCGATGACTTCCCCATTCCTCATGTCACAGTGTATAGAAGACTAAAAACTAGTTGCTAAAGCTGTCCATACAGTTACAATCTGATTATACAGCCTATTGTGAGATTGGTAAATGAGTTGCAAAGCAAGTTGCTGCTGGAAGCAGGTTGCTATATAATATCCGGCATATCTCACTGACCTATGGTCCTGCTTTGTTCAATGGCTGAATGGTTAGGTAGATATCCAAATGCCCAGAGACCTGCTGCTGGGTACCACCATCTTGGATGAGATCTCAGTAGCCATAGCAGACTTAAAGAAGAAAGCCATGCAGAATAAAATGTAACCCTCACAGTGGGGCTACACTTGCGCTGCAAGATTTAAACGCTCATTTTCATCTAAGGTCTAAAATAACAGTGATATATTAACCAGAACCTTTCCAGAACTCTCTCATTCGAGCAAGTATATTTCAAAGACTTGAAGTTTGTGTGATTTTATCTCCAACCACACTTGTTGGCATCAGGGTCTATTTAACTCTAGCAGAAACATCCTTTTATAACATTTACACATGTGGTATGAGATCTTTAATGGGTTGTATATATTTTAATGACTTGTAGACAGTATAAGGTCATCTAATGATAATACATTGCAATGTACATGTCTGTGCCATGAGCTAAAAAAACAAAACCACGGTTTGCTTGAAAAACAATTTATTAAGCATATAAAAGATTGCTAACCAGATGGGAGAAAAATAACTGAATCTGTCACAAAGTACTTTGAACCATCCATTCTGATCCTATGGCTGTTATATATTTCACAGGCAGATGCAACACTCAATGGTCTTAAATACGCACAAAACCAAACAGTTGAATGTTAAAGTCTTGGGGCTAAAAAAGACATTCTGGATGCCATTCATTTAGAACAACTGGCAGGTGCACTGTATGGTGTTTATAAAGAAAGGAAATACTTGACCAAACAACAATTTTACTTTAGCTCTTCTTTTAACCATTTTTAGTGAAATCTGATGAATTACAGGTGGACACAGCGTAGCCCAGAGAAACAGGATGCTTGCTATCCATCTTTTAACCATCAGCTTATTCTTTTTTTGGTAGCTTATAATACTAGCGGGAACAAAAATGAAAGTGAAAGAAAGGCAATAATCCTAATAATCAATTACTGTTGATCACTAATGACAAAGCTGATGCCAATAGAGTTGAGACCTTCATATGCTGCCACACCAGGGATGGTGCCTCCAAGACTGTCATGCTATCAATGTGTAATAAAACTTTACCACTGGATTTAAAGTTATCACAACCCAAAATTGCTATTACATTTTGTGGGGACTCTTAATGGTTAATCAATCAGCATCTTAGTAAAACGTTTGGAGAATCAGGCCAATTTCCCCAAGAGGTGGTGACTTTGCTCCTTCAGAGATTTGGAGAAGGTGGCACCCTGCTGGATTGTCCATTAGAACAGCCCAACTTACTTCTCAGAAAGCATTGTATAATCTTTCATGGACACAGTGAGGCCTGGGATCCCTCTATTGAGCTATTGAGAAGTTGGATCCCCCTAAAGGCTTTAGCATGCTGCTCGGTCATCAAACCCTCTGAAGTCCATTCAGTAATGGATAATACATTTTGCATGGTCTCACCCTTTAATAACATGCTTTACACTACAAGACTAAAGAGAAAAGCAGATTCAGGGGACAGGGAAAGACATTTAACAGAGACATTTTATTTTTTCCAGATGAATTCATGACATTTTGTTAAGCACGAGGTTCACTGTGGGGAGGTTAGTATTTCTTAATGGAAATCGTTAGCACTTGCTGTGGTGTGATTCTGGTAAAAAAAAAAAAAGTCACACATAAGAGGTAATAAAATACAAATTCTTAAACAACAAAACTAAATTATAAGGCATATGTTCAAAATTGCATTTCATTGTGATACTCTGCTGCATAATGTACTCTAGAATTCTGAATTGCACATTGCTCGGTCTTTGGAAAGGTGATAGAATGGAGGACATTTCTTGCGTCATATTGGCAATTAATCCTACTGGTCTGCGCATCTGCAACTTGTTGTACCCAAGTAAACAGAGGTTTATTGCCTACTAATATCTTGTGCTCAAGAATTAAATGTATTTATAATTTTGATAACCATACATATATGGTTCATTGATCTATATATCTATTATTCATAGATCAGTAAACCATGAATTCATGGTTATTTTTAATCTTATTTATTACTAATCTAATCTTCAAATTTATTATGAAAGGCTTTATAACATGATTTGCAGGTAAACCTATAATCCCCAGTCCAGTACATTATGCCAATTATGGGTTGAGAGGCGTGACAATGAAAACGGAAAACCCCTTTTTAAACTCCAGGATCCTTCAACCTAGCTCTCCCTATGTACAGTAAAACCTCTTTAAATTGATTTAAATAAATGACCTCTGTGGACCAAACACTACGTTTTATTCCCCATGATATTGTTGTATTCCTTTCATAATCTAAGCTAGTTCTGCCTGGAAAGAGGAGGGTTCTGTGAGACCACCAACTACAGGTGGCGCTGACGTAAGGATGCTATCACTGCCTTGCATGAACTAAACAGCGCAGTAACAAGACACCTTTCTGCATGAATAAAGAGAGCAGTGGTCTCAGCAGTGGAATCGTCTGCCCTAAGGCATGTAGAAAGACAAGTTTGGAGATTCATTCTAGCTTTTGTGTGATAAAAAAGAAAGCACGGGTAAGGTAAAGAAAGGCTTTCATTTCTGCATTTGGGACATCTGCATGCTGAGTAGAGTTCAGCTTTAAGTTAATTTGGAATGATAAGGTTGCTTGCAATGCAAATGTGTAAACTTGTGTGCACTATTTATATGTTAAAAATCACTTTTGTGTCATAGCCAGTTCAAACTCAAGGCCTCAGAAAGAGATCTCATACTTACTTTCCTTATGTTCTGTACCATGGTGAAGTGGGACACTGTAAGAAGAAAGAAGACTGGTTACCATTCACTAGGCCTTGCATGTAAGTATAGACATAGCAATTCTTGCAGCCATTATGAGACCCAGAAGAACACGGCACCCAGAGTTGCCTGGCTACACATTGATTATTCAGGTAGCAACTGCATCTTACAATACATTTGGAGGATATAAATGTATATGAAGTTTGGGAACCTTGATATGTTGTCTATGAAAACTGTTAGCTTTCTATATAACTAGAAGGCGTGCCTTCAAGGTGGAGATTAGAGAGATAGTTTCTATACAGGGCTCCATTGCACATAGCTATAGCAAAGGTCTGGCAATACATAGAGACAGTCTTACATGGAAGTATCACTACTCTATTGGGCTTACTTATTGAGGTAGTGCAGCTATCAGTGGATTAAAAATGATAGTTTAACTGATGTCAACTTAAATGCAGAGTGTTGCTATGCTGGAATATTAAAGAAATACAATTATAATTTTCTCACCTATTGGCTATACACAATACAATCCTTTTTTATTGCACACAGTTTTTTTAATATATATATACTTGTTAGATCAGTATTAAAGAGATGTTTTTACATACTGGATGTCATGCCCATCTAGCAGATGTTTGTATGTAGCGATCTCCATTTCCAGGTGGGTCTTCTGGTCCATGAGAATCTTGTAATCGTGGTTCTGGCGTTCCAGGTCTGATCGGATCTGGCCAAGCTGGGACTCCACATTATCAATAAGTGTTTGTAGCTGGTCTAGCTGAGAACCAAATGTTCCTTCTGTCTCTGCCAACGTGGACTCCAGGGCCGATTTCTACAGTGAGAGAGTCTTTACTTTAATGTCCATTGTTTAGAAAGAAGTCACTTCAACAGTAAAATATCTTACAGTATATAGAATGTAACTTACCATACTCAGCTGGCTTTGTAGCTCAATCTCCAGAGTCTGTGCGGTACGTTTCAAGTCAATGAGCTCATTACTAACTGTCTGCAGCTGTTCATCACCAGAGGACATCTCACTGTTCAGCTCTTCAATCTATGATAAGAAGGATGGCAACATTTTAGAAAGCTTACAGCTAATTAAAAAAATAATTGTAATCATATCACATGTGAAGGTTCTTGCATATAGGAGGTTGATTGCTCTCTACAGATAGATCAAACAATGTTAGACTAGTATCAGTGTGTTGCAGGGACATGCTGTGAGGTTAGTGGCAGGTAAGTCTCTGTGGGGTGTGGGAGGAGGGAGGTAGTAGAGAGGGAGGAACCTACCTGCCCCTCACTTGCTCATCACTGATGAGACATTTAGATGGATGTCGTCAATGTTTGTTTTTGTTTCTCTTTTTTGATTGGACGACTTGGGCCAATGGCCCTTTGATATTGGTCCAAACCATCCACAGAGCTCAAGCCAAGGACTCCAAGTCAGAGACTTGTTGTAGCTCTGACCACCCGCTGCTGTGTAACCTAGCATAGCTGTCAAAAGCCTGGTGAAGCACCACCTGTAATTAACATAGTCAAAAGCATGTGGTCAAATGTGATATGAGAGTAACCTGAAAAGCACATCTGATCACAAAGAACAATCAGAAATCAGATACACTGTGCTAATAGCTCGATGGTTATCTGACCAAAGTCCCTGTTCAACTAACCTAATGACATCAATGATGCTTTACGCCATGCAACAGTCTCCCTGTAGCATGCTGTCACACTTTGTGCAGATGCTAAGCCATTGAACCAATTACAGGAGCAGGAAAGTCTCAGGACTGGAAATTCATGTCTACAAAGTAAAATCCGTATTTCATGCAGCAGAATGCTTGCTTTCTGACCTAAAACTTTATGGGGTTGATTTACTAGAGGCCAAATAGGCTGTTACATTTGCAATGGTTTTGAACTTTTGTGGCAGCAACATATCATGGCGTGCTGTGGTTTGAAAATAGGCAATGTTTAGTACCATTAAATTACAAAATGGGTTGTGTAGCAGATGGAAATAACCAGCTTCAGACTGTAATTGATAGGCAAATGAGAACAAATAAGTCCATATACGGACTATCATCTTGATTATAAAGGAGAAAGGTACGAGATAAATGTTTGTTGTTGAAAATTCATTATGGTAGAGTTCAAACTAAAATGTGACTTATCGTTAAATGTTAACAAAGTAACAGTACTAGTGAAATACTTGACTTACTCTTGCAAGGAAAATGCTCTCAACTTCTTTAAGGTTCCTCTCCATAAGGTTTTCATATTGGTCTCTGACCTCGGATAAAGTTTGGTTTAGATCAACAGATGGTGCAGCATCTAACTCCACATTGACTCTTGCACCCAATTGTGCTCTCAGAGAGTTTGCCTCCTAAGGGTACATAAAGTATTGTTTAATGTTCAGGGAAAACATTTCACTTTTTTTGCAGGCAGATTTTTTTGTTTTTGTAGGCAGATTTTTTCTTACCTCTTCATGGTTTTTCTTTAGTTGAAGAAGTTCCTCCTGGAGGCAGCGGAGTTGTATCTCTAAGTCTTGTCTTTGCATGTTAATATCTTCAAGGGCTTTTCGAAGGCTAGCAACATCTGCTTCAACATTGTTTCTCAAGTTGAGTTCCATCTCATATCTATGTAATAAAAAAAACATTCAGACTACATGAAAAAAAAAAAATAGAGAGAGAAAATATGTGCAATCTACTAATCAATTTGCAGGCTGGATCTCAAAGCTAATTGCAAAAAAACAGCTTAAAATATGGTCAGAAGTTCTAACCTTTCCTCATCAGGTAATGCGAACAAATAAGCCCAGTTGGGACAGAAATAGCAATAAAAACCTAAATTTTACATAACATAAAACATTTAAACTTGTTGGGTTTTAGCAATGTTGACTAAGCTGCCCTAATCCTGAGGCTTTTTTGTGACAATTGCGAAAAATAGCATGTGTCCTACAGTTTCCTTTCTTAAAGTATCCTATTACTATCCTATATAATTTTGTATAGGATAGGCAAGGGTTAAATAACCCCTTTCAATTTATTTTTTTGCTGACTGTCTCCTTTTGACATATCCTTTTACTTTTGGTCCCGGAGATGCAACGCGGAGTGAGAGGAAGTCTCTACAAATTAAGGAGAATTACACTCTTAGGCAGTAGTCACCGGAAAAGATGCTCCCATTATAATATTTACACTGACCTCAACGTGACCACTGTTACATTTCAGCTTTCCCATCATGTTCTATCTTGGTGACAGTAGTCACCAGCAGCACACATGGAGTAGGAGAATCCCGGCAGTGGATCTCCGACAGCAGTAAAAACTTGACAAGTGTTCTAATCCCATCCCCATAAATGTAAATTCAGTTACTTACTTGCTTTTCAAGTCATCTGCAGCTAGCTGGGCATTGTCTATTTGCAAAATAATACGGGCACTGTCCACATTGGCTGTAGAAACCTGAAAATTATATATACAGTATATTCCAATTAGATTACATTCTAGTAGATGCCCTGCATTATTTCTGTATCTGTAATTATTTTACCTGGTTTTGCAGTTCTTGAATAGTCCTGAAGTAATGGCTGGAGTCAGGTAATGAGCTGGGGGCATTGTTGGCATACCATTCAGTTATCTTTCGTTCAAGCTGGGCATTTTCTTGTTCCAGAGAATGAACCTTTTCTAAATAGGTTGACAGTCGCTGATTAAGATGTTGCATGGTCTCCTTCCCATTAATGCTGAGGAAACCTGCATTCTTCCATTGATGGTGTCCTCCAGCAACTGATATGTTACTTCCATGACCATGGCCTCCATGCCCACTTCTCAAGCCATGTCCATGGCCAGAGGAAGAGTGCGTGGAAAAGGAGACCCTAGTGACTTTTCCATGAACACTAGGTGATTTGTAATGACCACCATGGTGAGAAATTGAGGATTTGTGGTGGACTGCAGGCAGGCCTCCATGATGGTGTGAAGAAATATGGCTGGAACCTTTATGACCACCGCAATGGCCAAGGTCAATTAGAGATCTGGAAGATGAGTGGATGTTGCTGTGGCTCATGGTTCTTGACAGTCAGGAACAGCTAAAATGAGAGAATAGAAGTTGATGCTTTCAGAAAAAGAAGTGATTGTCTCTGTTACCACTGCAACCTCTTTTATACACAGATACTTGAATGACATTAAGGCAGTTTATAGGCATTTTATGTGCTTCATACTCAGTTTATGTTACTCAGGCATCTGACTCAAAGAAAGCATCACCAACAAAGCTTCATTAATGGGATTAGTGCATCAGCTGACTGAAGAATTAAAGCATATTTGAAGTATCAAAGGGACCTAGTTACCACACCCTGTCCATTGTTATTTTTAAAACATAGCCCATGACTGCCTTCTGAAAGCAACATTTGCAGCCTTGAAACTTAAAGGGATCTTATTGTATTTGAATCTATGATTTTGGCACAATGGACCATTTGGATATGATCTCAGACCCCCATGTATTAGCCCATAATTACTTTATCAACTATTTCTATGAATTCTGTAGTGTATTTATTAATTCCACTTTGCATCTTTTTTTAAATTGTCAGGAATTACATGGCAAGTGTTCCCAACATAACATAATAGTCTCATTTTAAATCAAATGTGTATAGGGGTTCAATTTATTTGCTAGCATTGGTAAAATGGTATATTATGAACTATGGGCATATTTTACAATACAAGATTATCTTGTAAATTAGGACTAGGGCATAATATCAGCCCTGGCATAAAAGCCAAACCACCTTCCCTGGTGCACTTATGCTCATCTCTGTCAAGTGCTGATTTGCCAACAGTGTTAATTTCAGTTGTGACAGATAAGCTTTTATTGGATTATCAGTGTGAGTGTTTTAAACCATTTGAATAATAAAGTAGCTATGATGGCAATTTCCCTTTTAGACAGTTGTCAATGGAATCATCATGGATTCCTCATTAAAAGATTTCCCCTCCTCTTGTTCTGGTATGACTGTACACTTTTGGATTTCCCATTACTTTCTGTCTTGGTTGCAATGGTCACCAGGACAAACAGTAAAGATTTGGGTTTTTGTTTTTTACATTCACTTTATTCTACAGTAGATGGCCAAATGTACGAAAAGAACCCTGTCTTCCCTCTTCCCTCGGTAGGGTGCCTTCAATGTCAAATGCAAATTTTTGAAAGAAAAATGTCCTCCCAAAGAAGCAGGAGATTGGACAAGTGTGAAATACAAAGGAACAAACACATCCGGAATGAGGGAAAATGGGCAGTCAGAACACATGGGGGCATATGTCTGTGAGACCATTCAGAGGCAGGAAATCTATTAGGATGTAGGTATACTGATATATGAGGATGTCTCTACTCAGACTTCTTAACTTGGCCATGTTACTTTAATGAATAAGTTGAGTTATAACCCCATTTTTGAGGTTCAACCCATAAAACTCTGGAACCCTTTTCACATTTTTTCACATTTTACCTATGGATATAGTACTTCAGCAACAGTTTATTACTTAGACAAATAAGATTTAATTTGGTGGTGGTGTCTTTAAAAACTTATTTCAATATATTCTACTACAATAGAATAGGAGAAGATGAAGAGAAATTAGTTACTTAGAGGTAATTATGGATAACAAGGTAAACAAAAAAAAAATAGTTAAGGCTTGATATAGAAACACCTCTGTATAAAACCCGGTGCTAAAACAAATGGTAGTGGCAACTCTTCTACATAGGTTGTCGAATTGACCCCAGGTCCTCACAGCTATGCTTGTAGGCATATTCTCTGGGGAAAAGGACCTAAAGGAGAACTATGAGGTGAGTGCTTTTCACTCATCCTCATAGTTCTAGCCGACCTGTGACAATGAAACTGTCACAGGTCGGCTCAGTAGATCAGGAAGTGTGCGAACACATACCGATGTTCGCTCACTTTTCGATCCTGTCACGGCAGAGAGCCGTGACAGGGGAGGGACTGGATTCCCCCGCTCCGATCCTCCAGCGATCCTGTCACTCGCAGCTGGGCAGATCCAGACATAATTGTCGGGATCGGCTTCAGCTACAGCTCACGGTATACTGAGCTTAGGGTGCCGGGCGGACGCTAGTTTGTGTCCTCCCGTTACCCTTAGGAGAACTATGTTATTTACTTGTAAAAGACTCCCTTCTGTAGACATTCAAAAGCTCTGAGACTGCCACTGGCGGCCACCATCTTAAATGTGATGTCTGCATCCCCGGTAGACTAAAGGAAGCCATACAAGGACCAAATATTGTTTATTTCCTGATGGAAAGGCCAACATGTGATCAATGGGATCCATGAGTGGTTCTGGCACCACTTGACTTGAAATAGCCAGATGGAAAAATGTCAACTGAACTGTGACTGCACCCAATTAGTTAAAGTCACTGTTTGGGTATTCTCACACCTGTAGGCACATTGCAAGTACATAAAACATTATTTATGGTAGGAAAAAAAAAGTAATACAAGTAAGCATTTCAAATACTGTACTTGGTTTTTCTATGTTTTTACCTACAATTCTTTAAGACAAAAAAAACAATAAATATAAAGAATATGTGCAAATACTTGCTGTAGCAAAAAAAAATGTTTCACAGCAGCTAGGTTGTGGTGCGCATCCCCCATCTGTCCCTAGGGTGCATGGAGTAACAGATGGGCAGAGCCAGAAAAGTACCCTAATTCAAGGCCCTGTATCACTGATCAAACCTATGGCACCACAGACTAGTACATACAGTATAGTCTTTTATTCACTAGGTTGTTCAAACCCTTTAAATGGGAATATAAGTATTAAGAAACTGTAATTTGAAGGTATGCCTTGTATCACTTATCTAGCCATGATATTTCATGAGCAATTCTGACACAAATATCTAGGTGTTAAGTTCTATCTGATTTTCCCATACTTAACAGCTAAGTGGGCTTATAGAGGAAGATGTTGTGAGGTGTTAACTGAGAGTGGCTCCAGTTATTACTGAGTAGCAGGCAAGGTGCCACAATCTGCAATAGGGCTCTGTTCTATCTTGAAAAGTGAATATTTTTGTTAAATTTGGGTTCCCCAAAAATTAGGTCATTAAGTTATTCTGTTTTTTGGGGGGGTTTTATGGTGGGGGTGCCAATTGGGGAAAAGTGGGAGTAGTGGGCTATCCAGATCTTTTAAGACTTCCGTGTGCACTGCAAGTATGGAGCATGTGGCCGAGCCGATGCCTCTATGACCAGCCACTCCCAACAGCAGTAGATCGCTCTTTTGACCGCAGCCAGAAATAGAGTAGTAATAGAAGTGATTTACTGCTGCACAACTGATCTGGTCCCGCTGATGAAGAAAAAAAGTACAAAACAATTGTAGTAAAAGTAAGCAAAGCCTACATTACAGTGGCAATGCTGCATTGGATTTAGGAGCGGTGCAGCGTTGTTTCCACAGGAAGCTACAAAAGCTCAACTTCACTAGCACTAGGACTTTGCTGGGGGACTAAAATAAAACAGTAAGTGTAAATCCTTTTTAAGTATTCCAGCAACCATTTATTTTAATAGGAGGCCATAGTTCTACTTTAACTAAGAACTAAAAACGAAAAACTCTTTGCATATAAATATATTTTATATTTACCAGTCGAAGAAGGCAGATGGTGCGTTTGAAAATAGCTAGCTTAGAAACAAATAGCTAGCTAAAATAAATAGCTAGCTTAAAGTGACACTAAACTTCGGAATTAAATCTTAAAAATGCATTCAATTCACTTAACTCAAATCAAATCATCTCTGAATTTATGCTGACACTGTCCTTCCTTCTGGAGGTTGGCAACTTTTGTTCCCCATGGTGCCCATAGTCACCGCTCCAAGCCCACTCCTGTAATGCACTATAATCTTATGTTTAGTTTACTAATTTGTATTGAGATTGTAGCCTATCACAGGAGTGAGCTTGAAGCGGTGGTTAATTTACAACACACACAGGGACCATGGGGAACAAAAGTAGCCACCCTCCAGAAGGAAGGACAGTGTCAGCACAAATTTTGAGATAATTTGAGGATCCACAGCCACGTGATGCACAAATAAGGTACATTTGTATTAATAATTAAGGTACTTTATTGCATTTTTTAGATTTAACTCCTTTAGTGCAACTTTACAGAAATATAACTTATGCTGTGAGCAGCTTGGATAGCCTATACATACAATATAATAGAGAATACAACATGAATGAAGATATAGTCTATGAATAAACATATTGGGAGACCTATTTACACACAAATACACAAAGCTTCTTAACTAAGGAGGATGCCGTCTGACCACCGGAAGTCTGCACTGACCACCTGAGAGCCCGTACTGGCCACCTGAGAGCCCCACTGGCCCCCTGAGAGCCTGCACTGGCCACCTTAGAGCCTGAGCAAATTTCTGAGAGCACCCCGAAACCCCGCACAGCCCTCCTGAGACCCTGGAGATATCAGGCCTTGAACCCGGAGCAACACAGAGTATGTAGCTTTATAGTATTCTGCATTGCTGTATAATGTATTGCTGGGATTTGCAGTCCTCTATAGCTGATGGTATTATTCTGCATTGCTTTATAATGTATTGCTGGGATTTGTAGCCCTCTATAGTTGGTGAGTTTGTGGTATTCTGCATTGGTGTGTAATGCATTACTGGGATTTGCAGCCCTCTATAGTTGAGGGCATTCTGCATTGCTGTGTAATTTATTGCTGGGATTTGTAGTCCTCTACAGTTGGTAGTATTATTCTGCGTTGCTGTATAATTTATTGCTGGGATTTGTGGTCCTTTTATAGCTGATGGTATTCTGTATTGCTGTATAATGTATTGCTGAGATTTGTCGTCTTTCTATAACTTGGAGTCAATGGCAGATCTACCAGGCTCACAGCTGCAGCTGGGCCCTGGCACTCAACCACTAACCCCAAGCTCTAGAGAGACTACAAATCACAGCCCTGACTGGAGGAAGAGGGCCCTGGTGACCTTCAACATTTTCATAAAAAGGCCCACCGAAATCCTCAGCACCAGGCCCATGATGCTCTTAATGCGGCCCTAGACAGATAGGCAGCACTATCTTATTAGAGAGCGTAGCATG